GGAGGTGATGCATTCCCTGGAGACGAGGGCACGACCAACCGATGCCCTCACCCTCGCTACCCATCCATGAGCATCTGCTGTGGGTCAGAACCTCCTTCGGAGCTGGAGGCCCAGGAGCGAGCTTCCGGAATGGGAAAGGCTCCTTGGCGGGCAGACAGCAGCAACGATTCGGACAAACCTAAGATCTCAGGGGGACGCAAGCCCCGGGGGGATGCAAAACAGACAGTGGCCAACAGCATGGATGCCGGGCCCTGGCTCAGAAGCTGCCAGCAAGCCGCCTCAGTCTCCCCGTCCGGACAGTGGGGATGGTAACAGCACCACTTCTGAGCCGTCGGGGTGCCGGATGTGCCTAAGTGACACACGGTATTTGACGATCAATAACACATGTGAACGTAAAGCGGCGAGGGGACGTTGCCTGCGGTGGGCGTGCCGTTTCTCACCGGACCGAGGTTTCTCAGCCTCGGCACTTTTGACATTGGGGTGGGAGTGCTCTGTGTGGTGGAGCCATTGCCAAAGGTCCCCTGGAAGCCGGCTCCCCCAGCAGGCCCTACCTGGGGGGGCGTCAGGAGGGCATCTGCAGGGGGGTTGCTGAGGGACCTGAATGAGGTGAGGGAGGGCTCCAGGCGGAGGCAGTGGTGAAGAGCCCCAAGGGAGAGTGGGGGACGGTGCCCTGATGCCCCCACCTGGGGTGGGGGCACAGAGACCAGCACTCACAGCACCCGGCCGTCCAGCTTCCGGCGCACGACCACCCCGAAAGGCTCCTCCTGGAACTCCACGCTATAGAGTGTGGACGAGGCCCGGCTGTGGACATGCGGGGTCTCCAGGGGCACCTCGTAGCGCCTGTTGGCGGGATCCTTGATCTAGGAGTCAGATGGAGGTGCCATGAGGCCCTCTGGGGGCCAGCACGCCTCCCCCTCCTTCCTCGCCCCCCAGAGTCCCGGTGTGGTCAACTGAGCCTCCGTTTCCTCACGTCCAGAACCCCGTGTGGGTCGCCAGGGAAGACACACAACACCCAGTCAATCTGAATTCCAGATAAACAACTCTTCCCAGTAGGTCTCAAATATCACACGAGACGCACACTAAAAAAAATAAATCCATTCCTTGGTTTTCTGGAATTCAAAGTTACTGAGTGCATCCTGCATCTTTATTTGCTAAGTCCGGCAACACGGCTCCACCCGGCATGCCTGTCACAGGGTGGCTGAGAGATTAGAGCACCCAGCTCAGCTCTGTCTGCTACGCAGTAATCACTCAGTAAATGCTGGCTGTTAGAAAGTACTTTGTTAAAATTATTATGGACTGTGTGCTTCAGGCTCTCTCGGCTTGGCCTCCTCAGGTTCAATCCTTGGGTTTCTGCTGGGCAACTGTTACGTGCCAGACTATGTTCCAGGGGCTGGGAATCAGCAGGGAGTAAATCAGACAAGAGGTCCTCCCCTCAGGCGAATGGACAATCATCACATTTCACTGTCCATTGCCCCGAACATTCCCCCCATCCTCCCTGTCCACCTCTCCCCTTGCTGACTCTGTCCTGTAGGACTTCAGGTTCCTGGTGGGATGTCACTTACTGGGGGAGACCTGACCTCCCTCCACTGTGCCCTGAGCCCTGCCCTCTAGAGCATGTTCTAGAACCTTCTAATCAGTGTCTTAGTGGCCACTGCTCCCTGAGTGTAGGCACTGTGTGCTCACTCCTGGACTCCCAGTGAAGGCACACAACACATTTGCACACCAAACCAACACTTCATCTGCTGCCCACCCACGTTTTCTCTGCCCCTGTCTGGCCCTGCCCACCGTGAAGTGAAGCCGGCTCTCCGTCTCTAGCAGCATGTCCAGCCGTAAGGTCAAGATGTCCTTGGGGAAGAAGGTTGGGGTGTTGCGGGTCAGGGTGGCCGTGTAGCCTGTCTCCGTGGTGGTCAGGTTCTCCAGCTTGTAACTCGGGTAGCTGGGTGGGAAGAAGCACCAGGGCTGCCCCATCCGGGGGATCTGAGGCCACTGCCTTGCAGGCCGGTAGCAGCAGCCCCGGGCCTCACACTGCTCCTGGGTGATGGCCTTGTCGGGGGCACAGTCGAAGCGGCTGTTGGGGGGCACATCACACTGTGTGGGTGCTGCTCGGGGACTGCCGTGGTGCCCTGGGGTGGGCTGGGGGCCTGGGTCACTGGCTCCCTGCTGGCGAGCACGATAAAGCTCCTCAGGTACTTGGGAGACACCACGCTGCTCTTGGGGGACCACCAAGAAATCATGGAGCAGGACGTGCCCCAGGAAGGCGGCGCTGGCCAGGCAGACAAAGGTGCAGACTCCCAGCAGGGGGCGGGAGCTGGGAGGCCACCTCACGTCCATGGTCACTGGCACCAGCTGGCAGCCGGCTGGGTCCTGGAGGCCTGCTGAGAGAGGAGCTGGGCTCAGCAAGGAAGGCGGGACGGAGTGGCCGGGGGTGGTTCAGGGGGCTCTCACAGCTTCCAGACGTGGACCTGTGGCTGGTCCGGCAGTGCCCAGGGTGCGGTGGGCCGAGAACGCGGGGCAGGCGAGGATAGGCAAGCTCCCAGCACTGTTTAGAAAGACAGCAAGGGAAGGGAAAAGGGAAAGCCGAGAAAAGCCCCGAATAGGGAGTTTCGGAATACCCTGTACTGAGTGCTTACAAATGAGATGCGTTTAAAATGTGCATAAAATGATTTAAAGACACGTGAAGACCTACGTGGGAGGCTGACAAGTGGAACAAGCAAGTCACAACACGCAGAGCAGAGAGGGAGCCCTGCTTCTGCAGAGACTGTGGCCGAATCACTCCGTTTTGGCAAATGAGCTGGAAGTGGAAGGGCCCTCGGGGAGACCCACCACTTTCTCTCCGCCCCTCTTCTGCTGCCCGGGGTGTGGCTACAGCCTGGTAAGAAGTCTTGGGCCACACTCCCGGGACAGCCCCCCGGCCCCGGCAGGTGGAAGGCCCTCCCTGCCCCTGCAGTTAGGTGTGGAGCAGCCCCTCTCTCTGGCTCCTCCGGAGCTAAGTCTGTTACTACCTGCATTTTGCTTCTCTGTATGTTCTAAATATTTTATAATGAACACTGTTGGCCCAGCTCCTCCGAGGAGCAAGACACCAAAAAGACCAAACGGGCAAGGATTTAATTAGGGGAGTCCTTTCTCTCCGAGAGAAAATGTGCCAGGACCTGGGGACAAAGACTATATATTTTTTTATACCAGTGTCCCAGCGGCACCTGCCCTCATCCAGACACACGTGACACCCTGTGATCACGGGGAGGCAGGGACTAGGGAACTCACCCTTGGGAGCTCTTGGGCAGTGCCCGTGGCCCTCCCCACCCAGAGTTCAGGAGCGCAGGGGTGGCCAGGGGCACCGCAGGGCCAGCACCCGTCCCCTGCTGCTGTGTCCACTCTGCACAGGGAAGAGACCCTAGAAACGGGAAGGGCTGCCAACCAGAGGGCTTGACAATTTAGACAAAATGGGGAAAAACACCGAAGGTCAAGAGGTCAAGTGGCGCTGCCGGCCGGGAGGGCCTGTGACCTCGCTTTCAGGGAAGTGGCTCGGAGCCGCTGCTCCCCCCGCCAAGGCTGGTGGTGTAGACAAGCCGGGTTCAAAGTCCAGCTGTGCCCTGACCAGAGAGGCAGGGTCCCTTACCCTGTGCCTCAGTTTCCTCCCCAGAATGGGGCAAGGCGGCCTCCGTCGCCCAGCACCGAGGGCGTGGGTGAGACCGGGGAGTCCCCGGGGTCCCCGTCGTTAACCGCTGCCCGCCGCCCGGGGACCCCGGCACGACGCGCTCAGCTTCTCCACTAGCAAACCACAGAGAATAAATCCCGTCGATCGATCGGTCCCTCCCCCCTGGGGAGTCGCTGCTGCCCGGACCGCGAGCCCCCAGTCGGAGCGGGCGCCGCAGTCCGGCCCCGCCCCGCCCTTCCCTGGGACCCCCACCGCCCCTGGTCCGCTCACCTCCGCGCACGCTCGCCCAGCCCGGGCCCCTCACGCTCACCTCCGCGCACGCGCACCCAGCCCGCCTCCCTCGCCGACCGCCACTCCCCGCCGCGTTAGTCTCCGCGCACGCGCGCCCGGTCCGCTCCCCCCCCGCCCCCTCTCGCAGCTAGCCTCCGCGCACGCGCTCCGGCCCGCAGCGGCCACCCGGCGTCAGGCGCTGGCAGGCCCGCGCCCGAGGGGGCGGGGCGGACCGGGGGACAGCCCACCCGCGCAGGCGCCCTGGGCGAGGGTGTGCGCCTCCGGCCGCGCGCGCCCCCTGCTGGCGGGCCTTTCCGTCTCCGCGGGCCGCTGCGCCGGGAGCCTGGGAGGAGGAGGAGCGGTGCGCACCTGCCGAGACGCGCGGGCAGGGCAGGGACTGGGCGCCGGCCTTGGGGCCTGCCCGACGGGGACCGTGGGCTCGCTCACTCCGCAGCCCGTCCGCTGAAGCCGTTCGGGAAGGGAAAGCGTCTCGTACCCCGAAACGCGGCGGCTGTGCGACCTGACCTGGCGCTTCGAGGGGCGCCTCCGCCGCGAGGGTGCGGCGCGGGCGGGGCCTGTTTCTGACGCGCTGGCGGATAAAGACGCCTTTGTGCCGCATGCAGAAAAAAATTTATTTCTCTGCTGAAAAGTTTGAAAGTGAAATGGTGTTGTAGGCCCTTTCCGAGGACGGCGCGGAGAAGCTGCCAGGTGGCAGGTGCTCAGGACGCGGGGCGGGGGCGGAGTCACCCCAGGGGATCACACGAGGGGTGAGAACTGCGCGGCGACAGCTGGGGAGGCGGTGCGTCCTCGGGGCGCCGGGCACCTCGCCGCTCTCCATCGGGCCCTCCTCCCGGACATCGCACATCGGACTCTGGAGCGGGACCGGGGCATAAGCAGGAGGCACCGCGGCCCCCTCTGCTCACTCTCGGGGAGGAGGCGGATGCCTTCCCGGACCCCGAGCAAGTCCGGCGTGGGGTGGAAGGCTCCCCGAAATGCCACCGGAAACGCTGGGAGTCGACTTGGCTGGAACTGCTGGGGCTCTGAAAGAATCCGGATCTACCATGCGGGCCTACCTGTTTCTCTAAAAGGGCGTCACTCTCTGAGGGTGGACATGGCTTGATACACAGAATTCTGGTCTCTTCCACGGTGGGGGGGGGGGGGGGAGGAGCAGGCCGTGGAAGGTGGGGGTCCAGGCTGCTCTCTAGGGGGACTCAGACGGCTGGAGCTTGCTGGCGATGGTCTGGCTGACCTTGAGCAGGGCCTCCTGGAACTGGGGGTACTCGCCCTTCACGTGGTCGAGGATGGTGCTGATGACGCCCAGTCGGTTGTCCAGGCGTCTGTGCTCGGCCAGCAGCAGCTGCTTGGAGCGGAACAGGAACACGTACCTCCCGTCCTTCACAGCCTGGAGGTGCTTGACCCGCGTCTGCAGGGCCACCAGCTCCGACAGGTTCTTGGGTGGGACAAAAAACCCCGCATGAGGTTATGCAGTTTGAAACAGGACCCCTGCTGCCCCCACACAAACTCAGGACTGGAGGAAATGCCAGGGGGAGAAGAGGCTGATGCGCAGTGAGCTGGGCCTTCTCCTTTGCCCATTGTCTGAGAGACGTTTGACATTGCTGGGTGCCGGTCCCACAGTGGACACTTCCCTGCGCTCCCTCCCCCATCTCTGCTGATCAGGCTCGGACCCTGCAGACCCAGTTGGCCCCACTCTTCTGCTCACACCACATCCAGTCTAGCAGGAAATCCCACTGGAGCAGCTGAAATTATATGCAGAATCCCACAGCTTCTCACTAGCCTCATGGCTACATTGCCCCGGTTTGTGCATCACCTCAAGTAGGCCTCCTCTGTCTACCCTTGACCCTTCAACGTCAGAACCAGAGTGATCCTCCTAAATCTGAGCCATGCGTCAGCCCCAAACCCTCCACTGTCTTCCCACACCCCTGAGAAGAGCTCAAAGTCAAGATCACCGCCGCCCCCTGGCCGTGCACAGCATGGGGTGTGGTCTCTCTGCCCTCAGGTCCAGCCTGCTGGCCTCTGGCTGCCCCTAGAGTGGTTTCCTGACCTGCTTTACCCAGCCAGCTCACTCCCTTGCCACCTTCAAGCCTGGACTCAAATGTTTTCTCGAACTACCCTACTTAACACACACACCCCCCCCCCCGCCCGTGCCCCACCAGTGCCCTTTCTCTCCTTTATTTTCTCCGGAGTATTTATCACCACCTAACACGAGCTATCTTTTTCATTCATTTTGTTTATCATGTGTCCCTCTGTCCTCCCTCAGGAGGCCTGCTCTGTAGCCTTAGCACCCAGGGCAGGGCCTGGCCCATAAAAGATGTGCGATATTATTCGATTATTAGGGCATGTGAGGTGAGTGAGTGATCACAGAGCGTTGGGCAGTGCTGGGATCCCTGAGCTTAACTGCATCAGGAGGAGGCCTTGCCCAAGGGTGCACTGCTGCTGTGAGGGGCAGGCTCCATGCCTGGCTACTTGTGGCCCTCGCCCCTCGGGGCACTGGCCTACCTGTTGCTTGAGGGCCAAGAGCCGGTCCAGGTCGGCCTCCAACTCGTCGATGCTGGACTGCATTGTTGACAGCTGTTCCTGCTTCTCCAAGAGGGAGCTGCTCAGGTTTTTTTGAGTTTCCTCCAGTTCCAAGATGGCTTTGGTGCACTCCTCGGTGGCCTGGGAGATAGACGGGACCGTCCTGGGACCCTGCCTCCTGGTTACTTAGTGGGCAGAGTCAGGCTAGAAGGATACAATCTGGGGAGGATCCCCACGAGGGCAGAAGGAGTCCCTGCCCCTCAGGAACCAGGACCTGGAGGGGTGAGTCCCAGTGAGACGCCAGGGCCCAGGTAAGCCCACACTGCAGGCTGCTCCCCAAAGGCAGGCATGGCTGGGAGAGAGAAATGGGGGTCCCCTGCTTGAAGCAGGTCTGCCTGCAAGGGCACAGGGACCAGGGGCAGCTGGGCAGCTGCATGCCAAGAGTGGGAGCAGGAGATGCCTCGGGCAGGAGCTAAGGCCTCGTGGGGTGGGGGGTGTTGGGGGTGGGAGTGGAGGAGGCCTGGCTCCATCACAGTGAGGTAGGGCAGCCGGGGCTGGTGGGGAAGCAGCTGGTGGGATCCAGTGGATAAATGAAGTAGAGGTGACAGAGTGACTCTCAGGGTCTAGCTGGGGACATGGGAGAATTTGGGATGTGCAAAGGGCCAGTCTGTGCACAAACGCTGGCAGTCTTGCTGGGTGTGTGGCACGTGGGGGAGTGTGTGGCAGGAGGACTTGGATGCATCCCACCTAGAGCTGGAGCTGAGCGGGGGTCGGGGAGGGCAGGGCAGAGGTGGCAGCTGGGGAGCCCCGGGGTGGAGAGGAATGGACATCATGAGTGACCGGCATGGCAGAGAGGATTGGCCAACAAGGACCAAGAAAAGCCATTCTGCTGCCCCCAGTAATTTCCAAATGAGCAGTTGGGTCAAGCCTGTCATTTTCAGTTAATCTCTCCCGGTACAGAACTTAGACCTTCAGACGCTATCCCAACAGTCTCCATGTAATCCTCTGGACAGCTCCACAAGGTGAGTACCCATTTCACAGGTCAGGAAGCTGAGGCACAGAGCTGTCAGGCAACATGCCCGAGCCTTGAGCGGAACAGATTGTCTGGAGCCCAGTGGGGCTCCGAGACCAGGTTCTGTCTCAAGTGAGCCTTCACCTACCCGGGAGGGGGTTACTGCTCATATTTCCACCTGGCAGAGGCAGAAACACGGGCTTTGAAAGGTCCTACATATGCCCAAGGTAGCAGGGGGCTGAGGGAGTCTGAGCCAGAGCCCGGCGACGGCCAGGGGAGTGGGTGCTGGGCAGGGCACACACCACATGCTTGCTGATACGGCCTAGTGCACGAGGATGTGGACCCTCCGAGTGCCCATCAGCCTGTCCCCAGCACCCAGTCAGGGTCAGAGACACAGGGACTCACACGTGAGCCATGGTTCAACACGCTGTGCGTCCCTGATGCCATTTCTGTGAGGTGGTAAGGGGCTGAAATCTGGCCATCTTGGCCCTGGGCGGCACTGCTCTGTGTAGCTCTTCTGTTAAACCCAAGACAGACTTCCAAAGAAAGGGCCTGTCGTAGCCCGGCCCCCCTCAAGGGCCCAGTGACAGCCACTGCACCTTTACCCAGAACCGGCACGTGGGTCATGGGGCTCAGGCCCAGAGGGTGCAGGGGACAGCCGGCTTGTCTGGTTCCAGAGCCAGGCTCCTTCTACCCGCAGCGCCCCACTGCCACTTCTCAGCCTGGTAAAACAGCCCCACACGGCAGCCCTGACTCCAGCTCTGGGAATGGGGGCAGGAGAAGGGGCAGTGCTGAGAAACAGGCTGGAAGGACAGTGTGACCAGGTCCACGGCATGCTCCCCCCTTGTCGCAAGGCCCCCACCTTGTGAATGTCCCTGATCTTGCGTCGCAGCTCTGTCTGCTGGTGGTGGAAGTCCGTCCGGGTGAGCAATTTCTTGTCCACCTTGGACTGCCCCTTGGCCTGAGTCGAGATGGTCTCTCTGCGGGCAACGGCCAGCTCCATGTCACGGATCATCTTCTCCTGCTGCTTCAGCAGCTGCCCATGCCTGACCTGGGTACACAGGGCAGAGGGGCCGTGAGGGAGAGTGGCCAGCGCCGTCTCCACCAACTCCACAGACCCCTGACCCGGCAGGGAGACAGCAAGGGGAACGTGCCCGAGCACAGAGGGATCTGGAGCCATTGCCCACTGGTCAGAATGATTTGAAGGTCCATGTAAAGAACACACAAATGGGGAAACTAGAAACTGTCAGAGGCCAGGGGAGGTTAGCAGACCGAGGACTGCCACATGCAGCCTGGGCAGGATTCTGGAGCAGAAAAGAGACAGTAGCCAAGAGAACAGGGACACCTGTACCAACGTTGATTTCTTAGTCGTGGTTTTGGAAGATGGTGATGTGAAGGGTCTGTGGGACCAGGGCTGGGGCCTGGTTGTCAAGGAGACTGACTGTAAGGGCTACATGAGGGCTTTCTCGAGTGCTAGGAGTGTCCTGTCTCGGTCGTGGGGGCAGAGATGTGGGCCCGGGCTAAACCCATCCAGCCAGACATTGAAAATAAGTACATCTCCTTGTGTGTATGTTCTGCTTCAGTGAATCTGATTCAGAATAAAAAAGGATAAACAGGCAGGAACCCCCAGGTCAAGATGGTGGTGGGAGATCTAGCCCAGCCACGTTTAAAGTCTGCAGTGGTGGGAGCCCAGGATGGGGACGGCACAGATGGGGTGGGGGGCTGTTGTCAGCTCCACGTTGGCTCAGCAAACAAGCACAGATTATCTGGGGATGCCAGCATGACTCACGCCCCAGCTGAGAGAACAGGGATGGGCCCCTATTTAACGCCATGTCCAAAAATTAATTCCAGGTGGATTCAAGACCTAAAGACGTGCAAACATGTGCAGAGAACTTGGGAACATATTTGTGTCACTTCAAGCTGCGGGGACCATCTTGAGCAATCCAGGAAACCTAGAAGCCATGCAGAGAGACAGACAGGCCTTACAGCATGCATAGTAATGACCCCATGAGTGAGGAGAGACCCAGCGCAGAGAGCGTGAAGGCCAGCAGCAGAAGAGGGAGAACGGGTGGGACAGGTGTCCAAGGTGGGGCTTAGTAACCGTGATATGCAAAAACTCCCTAAAATTGCCAAGAAATAAAAAAATGGAAATAGGAAATTGAGGAAGTGCACACACACACACACACAGGCACGTGCTCAATACCCCGTAACAGAAAATGTGGAAGTATGAAGCTTCTAGAAGAAAACATAAGAGAAAAATCTTTGTGACCTTGGGCCAGGCAATGATTTCTCAGATGCGCCACCAGAATGACGCACAGAGAACAGAGCTGGACCTCACCCACGTGAGGAGCCTCAGACGTGTTATGGGGAGTGAGAAACGCCACACTCACAATAATAATTCATGCTACGGGGTCTGCTTCTGTGACATCCTGAGAGTCGGGGACAGGGACATGGGAAGCGGAGCCCAGGAGGCACGAGGGACTTGAGGGTGACGCAGATTTGGGTATCACAAAGGGGGGTGGTTACGTGGTTGTATGTTTCTGTCACAGCTCATGAGATCGTGCCACCAAGGGCTCAGTTAAACACCTCAATTTAAAAATAAAGGCTCTTGGGCCAGTGACACCCAGAGGTGCCCAGGCTGTTGGGACACAGCCGTCCTCGAGCGCCTCCTGGAGAAGTGATCTGTGGGGCTCTGGTCAAGAATGTACACTCCTCCGCCCTGTAACCCCACTTTTGGAGATCTAACCTACAGGATACAAACAAACCAACCCCAGTAAGAAAGGATATTATGGCAAGCACGAGGAACCGGGACAATCTGGATTCTGATCACCCTGGGAATGCTCCGAGAAGTTAGGATAAATCCGTAGGACGTTCTGTAACTGTTAAAACCGGGCTAATGTCCATATTGTTTTTTTAAAAAATAAGTTGCTGAGCTATACGTACAGATCCTATTTTTGTGAAGGACAGGAAGCAGCAGGGAGTCGCGGGTGGAGGGACGGCCACACCCGTGTGCGCATGCGCAAGCGTGTGTGTGTGGGGGGGGGGTCTGGCCTGCTGCGGCCAGCACATGTGGCTTCTGTGGTTTGAAAAGTCAATTGAGTGGAGTGTTTTAAAGACTTATCAGTAGCATATGCATTTGATCAGAATTCCTCTGAACTCCATGGACAGAGGGGTCCTGATTAAAAGCGGCATTGTGGAAGTGATGCCCGCCTGATTTTACTACCTGCTCTTACTGTATCCTAAGGCTCAGAGAGAGCCTTGATTTAATTACCAACCTTTTTTTGAGGTAATGAAATCCAGCTCAGGACGGTGGAGAGAAAGCGAGGCTCCCAGGGAAAAGACGGGCGTGTTCTTTGACCACGTTTTACCGGGCGAGACACCTTTCCTCGACAGTGGGGTGTCTTTCCCCAGCGGGTCGTGGGATTCAGGGGTCCCCACCAGCCCTCAGAATCGTCAGAGTGCGCTGACTGCACGGGGCGAGGGTAAAACAGTGTCTTGCGAAACACCGCGCACATGACTGTGTGTGTCTTGTGTCTGTGATCCTGTGAACCCAAGTGGATGGACCCTGGACGGGAGGTCGGCAAGAAAACAGCCCACAGTGCTTGTGCTCTAAGTGCCCTTCCCGGGGAATGGTGTCCATGCCACTGGCCAGGGTGGCCCGTGGGGTTCCCGGGGGGCCCACCCCCAGTGAGGCCAAGCCCCCCAGAGCCCCCACCCACCTTCATCCTGTGGATCTCCGCCTTCATGGCTCGGATCTCTGTCTGGCCGGTCTCGGAGTCCACCGATGCACGCATCTCTTTTGCCAGCTGGATTTTTTTCTCCCAAAGCATGATCTGGTGTCTTTAAAGGTGGGAGAGGCAGTGTGAGAGCTGGAGAAATTAAGGAGATTTCCTTCTGATGCTTCTGCGAGCTCATGCTCTAAGGACTCGCTCCAAATCGAGACCCACAGTGGACAGCTGGAAGGCAGGTGTGAGCAGAGGCTGAGCGCAGTGAGCTCGGGGCAGCTCAGAGCAGGGGGCCGGGACCTGGGACCCTCTCTCTCTCTCTCACTTAGCGTGTTTAAATACCCAGGCACTGAGTGAAGGGCTCGACTGTCAGACACAAATTTCCCCGTTCTGTGACCTGCAGGTCAACATAAACCCCTGGGCCCAGGTGCTCTCTCAAGTTCCTGCCAGCCCACCCAACCCAGGGCGAAGGGGGCTGTCCCACCCCAGTCAGTGTTGCCATCATGGAGTCGCGTGGTGACGTTGCGGGGGACAGCTACACCGCGGTGCACGCAGCGCCTACGCCTAAAGCCACCGGAACTCTGTGCGTCAACTATACTTCAACTAAAAGAAGTTCCCATAGCAGCAAAGACCGATGCCAGCGCCCTGGTCTCAGTGTTTGTGTCCCGCCCTCTGACGCCCAGCGTGATGGTGTTTGGAGGTGTCACCTCTGGGAGGTGCCTAGGTCACGAGGTGCAGACTCATGAATGGGATCTGCGCCCTTAGAGAAGAGAACCCACAGAGCACCCGCGGGGACACAGGGGGAAGCCCGCGCGACCCAGAAGAGGCCCTCACCCACGCAAGCTGACCCCTTGACCTTGACCAGCCTCCACAGCCGTGAGCGATACATTTCTGTGGTTTATAAGCCGGGCCCCTTCCCTTGCAGCCGCCTGGACAGGCAGCGGGCTCAGCGGAGCTGGAAGGAGCCTCGCGCGGGCTCTGACGCGCCCACGCGGGTGGCTGAGCAGCCGCTCCCATTGGAAATGTCGGTCCACGGGAAATATATAGACCTGCTTCAGAGGGCAGCATAGAGCACAACCCCATTTTTGTTTAAAAGGCAAGCGGACAAGGAAAGTATATGCATCGTGGTTTCCCGGTGAAGGGAGGGGCTTGGAATTATGTGTGATTTTCCTCATCTGCTTCGCACACATTGTTACAGTTTCGAATGCTACAGTTGGGGGTGGTTACTCGTACAGCCAGGCATCATAAAACTAAAATAACTTTTAAACACTTTATCCTGAAGAAAGCCACTCAAGGGGACGCCTGGGTGGCTCAGTCGGTTGGGCATCTGCCTTCGGCTCAGGTCGTGATCTCGGGGTCCGAAGATGGAGCCCGGCATCGGGCGCCCTGCTCGGCGGGGAGTCTGAGTCTCCCTCCCCCTCTGCCTGCCGCTCCCCCTGCTCCTGCGCTCGCTGGCTCTCAAATGAACAAACAACAACAACAACAACAACAAAAAGCCACTCAATTTCCCCTGAAGACTGGGCAGGCGAGGGCGGGTGGCTGGAACCGAGCGGTGACACGGGCCCTTCGCTGGGACCCGCCCCAGTGTGGGCTCCAGAACTGGCCCGGGCAGCTGTGGGTGGGCGGTGGGCGCCCGTGGGCTCCGCAGGCGCGGAGACAGTGGAGCGGGGGCGGGGCCGGGCACTCACTCCGCCTCCACCAGGTTGCTCAGAGTGGCCGCCTTCTCCTCCTGCAGCTGGTTCAGCTTCTCCTGCATCTCGATGGTCTCCCTCTCCGAGGCCTGCACGGGACGGGGTGCCGCCGACTGCGGGGGACGCCGGGGGACGCGAGGACCCGCACGCGCGCCCGCCCACCGTGCGCCCTCCCCCCCGAGTCCGCGGAGCGCCTGACCTTCAGCGCGCGCACGAACTCCTTCTCCATCACCAGGTTGTCCTGCTGCAGCCCCTCGGAGCTGCTCCGGTTCTTGCTTATCAGCACGTTGAGCTTCTTCAGGTCGTTGTCCAGGTCCTTCATGTGGCGCTCGATCTCCTTTTGCTCCTTCTTCTCCTGAGCGATCTTGTCTGCAGCAGAGGGGACGCGGGGGTAGCCACGTTCCCAGAGTAGCCCCCACACCAGTCAGGGCCCAGCTGGGCCAGAGGGAAGGGGCCTCTTCCTGGCCGCTCCGTTCCCAAAGCCTGGCCCTTTGAGGCAACAGAAAGGACCCTTGTGTGGACAGCCAGCAGGTGGGCGGGGGGGGGGGGGGGGGGGGGGGGGCGGCGCGCGGGATGGGGGGGCAACCCCCCTGCACTGAGAACAACCTGTGGGGACATGGCTGGTGCTCACACACTGGGTCTCCAGGAAAGGCGGGCCCCGCCCAGCTCAGGGGCAGGGGGCAGAAAACAACCATCCTAATTGCCAAGAGGGGTTTGGGCGCCCCCCAGGGCAGGCCAGAAAGGCAGCAGGGCCTCTGGGCCTGAGGTGTCCAGGAGGAATGGGCCCCGGACCACCAGGCAGCATTTCCCATAGGGCCACATGGCCGGGCTGACCTGCATGGATCTCTGGTCAGAGACCCAGGTGGGACCAGGTGGGACCCGGATGCCTCAGTGGGGGGCCATGGGGGTAGACGGCGGCCAGGAAAGGTGTCCATCTCCCTCCTCCGGGTACCCTGGCACATTAGAGACCCCTGGTTTTTACACCACCTGGGGCAAGACAGGGGCTGGGGAGTCTGTTGGAACAGTTTTCTAAGTTCAGCTGGAGAGGAAGAAAGCTTCTCTTCCCAAGGCCCTGAGTTTGAGGCGTGAGGTGTCCCCTGTCTCCCTGGGAAGAAAGCTTCTCTTTCCACAGCCCCGAGTTTGGGGCGAGAGGTGTCCCCTACTCCCTGAGCAGGGGAGTGAGCCCCCAGGAGCTGCACCTTGCTGCATGTCTGCATTTCCAGCCCAGCTGCCCTGCCCTCGGCAGGACGGTAAACCTTCCGTGCCCCTCTGGGAGCACCCCTCAGTCTGCGAACTTAACAAATCCAGTATATTTTCTCGATATTTCCGCCGTGCTGGCGACGGGGCTGGTGGTCAGGGCAGTGGCTCATGTTACACAAGGCGCTGTGAGCCTGTGGTTTGCTCTCACGGCCTCGTGCAGGGTAAGCGTGGAGCTCCCTCCCCGGGAACTGGGCCGGAGGAGTCCCTGCAGACGCCGGACGCTTACTTTCTATCCGCAGCTTCTTCTGCTCCAGGATGTGCATCTCCTTCTTGAACATGTCCAGAGACACCAGCTGTTCCTCCTGCTCCTGAGTGACCTTCACCATCTCTTGCTGCAGGCGGAGCCAGGTCACCTGGGCCTGCGTCACGTTGGTGTTGTGCTCTTCGATCAGCTTGGTCAGCCTTTTGATTTCAAGCTCTAGAGGCCCCACTTCTTCCCCCTAAAAGTGATATTCACCAAAAAGCAAAGCGAGCCTCCTTGTTTTCAAAGGTCTGCTTTCCAGGGGAGCTGAGAAGGTCCGGGACCCCACCTGAGATCATGCATCTGTGTGAGGACAAGGGGGCATTTCCTCGGGGGCACTAAGGGTCCCACTGTATGCCCCCGACCCGCTGTGGGAGATATGGGTCTCAGGAGGCCGGTGGCCCCCTCCCCACCACGCCACAGCCTTGTGAGGCCAAGGGCAGGGTTGGCAGGCCTCTGTCCCTCAAAGGGGCTTTGCAAGTTTTCTTTTAGGGGCAGACCGTCACGGGCCAGGGCTTGACCATTTGGGCTGCAGCTTTGAGAGGGCTCTGTGGTGCTCAGGGTCTACCTAAAACCGTGCCCAGCTGACCATTTTACTCCTGGACTTGAAGCCCATGGTGGTGCCCCCTCGTTAGGGATACCTGGGTAACCTATAGGACTTCAAGCCTCAAACTCATCAGATCACTCAGAGCAGCGGTCAATTCCCACCCGCTGCCTTTGCTTGGCAAGAAAGAAGAACATTTGGTGCCAGGTGAAAGTTATATGGTCAGATTCCAGGGGCCACCAATAAGGCTTTATTGCACACACCCATTTACTTATCACCTGCCTTTCTGGCCGTGACAGCAGGGGTGAGTAGCTTCGGCAGAGACTGACCGGCCTGAAATATTTACTATCTGGACCTTGACAGGAGAAGGTTCACAGGCAGCCCCTGACTTGGGGCATTCCGCGCTCTCGCCATGTCACCCATAAAAGGGGTGGGGAAAGGAGTGGCTCTATTCCGTGGCACAAATACCAACCAGGGGCAACCTCTCCTGGCCCGGAGGTCTTACCCCCAGCTCAGAAACCATCTGCTCCAGCTGCTTATTGAAGAAGTTGATGAGGCCTTGCTTTCTCTCAATCAGGATTGTGCGCCTAGAGATCTCGTTCTCGCTGCTGGTGATGAGGTCATTGACCTTTTTCACTTCCTTGTCGAGCTCGACCAGTGTCTTCTGGTGCATGTCCAGCCTGCAGTTGGTGTTTGTGATGTCCAGGGTGGTCTGAGCAATGTCGCCGTCAATTTTGGAAAGATGTGTCACCTGCATTAGCAAAAGGAAACATGTCTGAACATTCTTTTTCCCTGGGGGGCTCTAAATGAGCTGGCTGGCCTCTCATTTCCTTGAGCATCTGCCACAGGTCCGCCTCTCCTTCCTTCTAGTCTTTATAAATATAACGCCCCCCCCCCCCCCGCCTTCTGCCCAAACCAAAGACAGGATCACACTCTACACATATGTTTGTAAGCCACTTTTTAATGAGCTCAATCTTGACTTGTATGCTCATTTCACTTTTAGTGGCCGTGTAATAGTCCCTTATACTTATAACCCAGGAAGCGAGTCGTGGTTGTTGTCAGCAGTCCTGCTTCCGTCCTGTCCCACAGTTCTGAATTCAGTGCCCAGGGGCTGGTCTAGACAGCTGGTATGTTTTGGTGAAGGAAACGGATTCCTTCCTCTCTGGGCTTGCAGTCTATCACCAGTGTTCCTGTTCTAAGTAATGCTGTGGCAAGTTCAACCTGTCTCTTTGCCAGGACCGTCTGGGATAGCCGGGTCTTCACAGGGGCTCCCACCTTCCTCCTTGCCCCCCATGCTTGCCGCCCTACGGGGGCTCCCGTTCCTAAGTCTCTTTTTGGTCACCAGATGGACCAGCCAGCCTCCCTGGACTCCCTCAGCTCTGCTCCTGGACTGTTCACTCTTATTGAGATACTCTGGCCTCTCCTGGGACATCAGTTCTGCTCCTGCACTAACTTGTAGACCCATGGTAGACCCGTGCCTGCCCTCCCTCTGAACCCCAGTTCCAGATCCCAGGGGGTTTTTTGAACAGTTTGGAAAAAGTATCCCCTTTAAAGAGCTAGACTTGCATCTCTGGGGCAGTCAATCATAATGGACAAATTTGTGGGACGAAGATTCTTTACTGCCCTCTGCTGGACATTGGTGGTAGTGTGTGTGCCACTTGCCGGGGTGGCCCGGGGCCTGGGGGTCTGGGGGTCCACGAGTGCAGCCTGGCAGAAGGACTGGCAGGTGACTTCACACACACCATGCTCCTTATCTTCTCTGGTACAGCACGGGCCCCTAGTTTTGCTCCCAGCAGGTAGTCTTGCCCCCACTTCCCAGAGAAAGGATGAGTGGGACGCCCCCAGCATCAGACAGGACCTCCCAAGGAGACCTGGCTGAGCACAGTCTTGGCTCCAGCCCTGTCTCCCCACTTCCTTGCTATAACCAGGCCTGGAGCAAGCTGCCCTCCTCCCAGGTGTCCAGGAGGGATGGGGCGCCTCAGGGTGCCGGCCAGGTAGACAGCAGCCCCACCCCCCCGGAAGGACAGGTGAGCCCCCCAGCTGTGTCAGCTGAGCCTCCTCCTGGCCAGTATCCACCTGCCAACAATGGCCATCAATCGCTGACATGCAGGGGCACGGCCTCTGACTCCCCAGCCCCTTTGTTGTCATTGTAATGAACGGTTAGATCTAATCCTCCAACACCTGCCAGGTGTCTCGTACAGGGAGAGAGTAAAGGTAGAGCCAGGATCACGCAGGAGCAGGACTCATGCTCTTAACCGCAGGCTGGGAGGGCCCACACCCCTTCATCTCCCACCCATCGGATGGAAGCTTCTGGTGAGCTGGAGAGCAAGGAAACGTCCGTGTGGTTGCTGCTACGTGCAGGCAGGCCGAGCGGGCGCCTCTCCTCCTGAGCCTTGAGGGGCGCCCTGGGGCAGGCCGTCTGCTGGGAGGTGCCCTAGGCCTGGTGCGGGCCACGGCAAGTGGGCCCACCGAGCCAGGGGACACTGGGGGGGGGTCACACCACGGGACGAGGCAAAGAAACGATTCAAGGAAGGACACAGGGACCCCTGACCACAGCTCAGAGCAAAGTAAGACCCCTGGGAGAGCAAGAGAGAGCTCTTGTTGGAGGAGGTTCCTGGGCCGGGAACCTGTGACCCTGGGTTTCGGGCATAGCAGCTTGTCCTCAGAAGTGTGGACACAGATGTATGGCAAGCATGTCCAGAGTGGAGTTGTTGATAACATTTAAAGCCTATAAACACCTTGAAGTGTCTAACCAGAGAATTTTCAAGCACAATACATACATTTGCATGATGAAATGTCATGCAGAAAGGAAAATGTAGGTTTTTGAGGAATATTTCACAGAAAATGTTATGTTGAATGTGGCCAAAAAGTAAAATAAAACAGTATCTGCTCAGTGAGAAAATCCGTGGAGTCCCACACTTACTGTGTGTCATATTTCAGTAAAGTGAATGAAAATGGATTAGAATAGACCTGAAAACTGATACATAGTAAGAGTCCCATGTTGTTTAAGGCGTGTGCGCGTGAGCGTGTTCCCGGGTGTGCTTGCACGAGTGGGTGAGTACATTTGTATGGGTCGGCTCGTGTTCACATCGGGATGTTTATATGTGTGTGGTTGCCTGTGTGAGTTTGAGCGTGTGTGTTTAGAAAAAGTTCCAGAAGGAAATACACCAAAATGTTGGAAGAGGTTATCTCTGGACGGTGGGATTATAGAGGTCTCATTTTCCTCTTTATGCCTCTGTATTTCCAGGTTTTCTACAATTAAAAGGCTCGCTTCTACAACGAGAACCAAGTGGGAAGTGAACAGACCGGCTGAGCGCCCCTGGCTCGCCCCGGCCCAGGCGCCCGGCCCTCGTGGCCGCAGCGGGAGGGAGGCGTACCAGGTTGGTCTTTTGCTTCCGGAGCTTCAGGATGATCTGATGGAAGTACTTGGTCATCTTGTTGGAGGTCATGTGCCCCTGCAGCTTCTCCAATATGGAGGCGTCCATCCTCCGCCTCAGCTCTAGCTCGTGCCGGATGGTCTGGTGGACCGACTGCAGGTCGCCCATGGTGGCCGCGTACTCCTGGAAAGGAAGGGGCAGGGATGGCGCTGGGGGGGGGGGGGGGAGGGAGGCCGCGGGGACGCGCCCTGGATGGGCTGAGGGACACGGTCGTACCACTTGGGCCTTGCCCAGCGTGTCCTCCGTGTCCTGCAGCACCAGCCGGTAGGTGTTGAACTCGTTCTGCAGAGCCTCCTGCTTGGTCAGGCACTGCGTGGTTAGTTTCTGCATCAGGTTGGCTTCTGTCTCCTCGCGGTTCAGGATGCCCGCCAGCTTCTCATTCTTCTCTTCCTCCTTCATGATGGATTTCTTGTAGGCCTCGATCTCCCCGTCGATGGATGTGATCTGGTGCTGGCATTCGCTGTCGGGATTGAGAGAGCAAAGCTGGGTCGGCAGAGCACTCATGCATGTGGCTGTGCCCGCTTGCGGGGGGCTCCCCCAGTGGAGAGGGATGAGTGGGAACCCAACCCTTACCAGTAGCCAATCTCGACGACTGCTTCCTGACACAGTCACAGAACCACTGCCCACTTTGAGTCCAAGCCTAAGACTCTTCTAAGACAGAGAGTAAGGGAGAAGGGCCAGAGGGGCCAGGCGTCGTCCCAGGGGCCAGATCCGCCCACACTTGCTGGTCAGGGGAGCAATCCAGGAAAGGGAGTGTGCTATTCCAGTTTCATACGCGTGAGCACTGGAGCTCAGAGCCCTTGAGCGGCATGCCCAGTGGCCATAGTGCGTGGCGTGGCTGGGAGGAGCACCCGTGGGCATCACTCCAAACTCTGTCCTTTCCCCTCTGCACACTGGCTGTGCGAATACCTGTAATTAACGTCAAGTCAGACAGACAGGTGCTGGAGAGTAGAGTTTTCCTTTGTGTGTGAGACATTGTTTCCCCCACATTCTGAGACGTCCTACTGCTCTGCTCTAAAAAAGCCTTTCTCCACCTCCAGTATCTTATCCTTTGAATAAGTTCTTATTGAAAAAATCAGAAAGTACTTTCTCCTTGAACCGGAATAACACCTTCCATATTTTTCTCATGTCTATCCCCAGGCCTTCAATTCTCTTCCCCAAGCAACCAGTTATTTCTTAAATGTCTTTCCAGATCTATTTCATGCTTTTATAAGCATTATGTTTGTCTGTGTCTATGAAACAGTTACAAATAGCAGCTTAGTAGATCACGTTCTGCACCTTACTTTTTCTTGTGCTATCTTAAAGATATTCAATAGCAGTGCACATAAAAATCTCCTCGGTTCTTCTCAATGACCAGATGGTATTCCAAATGATGACCGTGCCATAATTTAAGCCTCCTCACTGATACACAGTTAGCTTCTTTCCAGTTTTCTGGCCCTTTTTCCCCCTAATTTCAACAGTGTAGCAAAAAACATCTGTACACAGTTTTTAAAAGATACCGGGGAGATATGCCATGTTTATTCAGCAGAAGACTCAATATTGTTAAGGCGTTAGTCTCCCCCAAAAGATCTCTAGACTCAACGCAATTCTAATTACAATCTCAGTAAGTATATTTTTTTCTAGAAATTGACAAACTAATTCTAAAATTTATATATGGAAACCTACAGGATCTCAAATAGCCCAAATAATTTCGCAAAAGAAGTACAAGGCCTCCCAGGATCTGATTTTAAGACTTTCTATAAAGCTGTAGTTATCAGGACAATGTGGTATTATCGGTGAAAGAATAGCTAGATGGAAAGAACAGAATCAGGAGTCCACAAATAGACACACCAACATGCAGACACACACGGCCAATTGATATTTGACAAAGGTGACACGGTACTTCAATGGAGAGAGGACAGTCTTTTCAGCAGCGGTGCTAGGATTGCTGGACACAGGCGTGCAAACAGACCGAACCTGGGTCTCATGCTGCGACAGGCATTAACTTGGAATGGGCCATGTACCCACATGGAAGAACTTAGCAGGAGACACAGGAGGGATCTTCATGACCCTGAGCCAAGCAAAGATTTCTTTGAGTGGACATAAAAAGCATGAGCTATGAAAAAAAATTAATTAATTGGGCTTCATCAACATTTAAACCTCTGCTCTTCCAAAGCCACTGTCGTGAGAATGGGAAGACAAAGCCACAGACCGGGAGAAAATATTTTCAAAGCACACATCTGAGAGAGGACTTGTATCTAGAATATATGAAGAACTCTTGTAACTCAATAATGAGATGAACGACTCAATTTAAAAATGAGCAAAAGACACTTCACCAAAGAAGGTATATGGGTGGCAAATAAGCACATGAGAAGATGCTCAACATCATTAGTCATCAGGGAAATGCAAATTTAAACCTCCATGTGATACCACGACTCATCGACTAGTGGCTGAATTGAATGGCTAAAATTAAAATGATTGACAATACCAAGTGTTGGTGAGGACGGGGGAGTAACTGGGAATCTCACCCACTGTGGGAGGGAATGCAAAACGGAACAGACCAAATTGGGAAACACATTGGCAGTTTGTTATAAAGCAAAATATGCACGAACCAGCAATCCCGTGCCTGGGCACTCACCCAGGAGAAAGGGAAACACACGTCCACACCAAGACCTGTACAGATTGTCATGGTCTGTCTGTCTGTCTGTCTGGTAGACTGTCATGGTAGCTCTACCCATGACACCCCAAAACTGGAAAAAAAAAAACAGGGAAATCCATCAACTGGTGACCCGATGAACACAGTGGTGCACTCTTCGGCAATAACAAGAAACAAACCACTGATCTCGCACCATCCCACGTGGGGATGAAACTCAGAAGCAGCATGCCGAGTGGAAGAAGCCAGCCGAGGAAAGATGCACACTGTGTGATTCCATTTACCGGACATCCTGGGAATGACAGGGCTGGCAGGACAGAAAGCAGATCAGTGTTCACCACGGGCTGGAGGTGGGGAGAGGATACTGACTTGGGGACGAAGGAAACAGCCTTTTATCTTGAGGGCACCGGGGTACTTGCCTCTGTCCATCTGCCAAACTCACAGAGCTGTGCACCGAAGAGGGAGAGCTTTTGTACATAAGAAATCTGTACATAAATTAGCCTCAATAAACCCAACTTAAAATGAAAAAACTACTCATTTTCTTTTTTAGGAAGTAACAGCCTTATAAATGTCTAAAATTTGACAATAAAAATAAGACGACCAATTTAAAAAGACACAGTCACAAATTGCATGACAGAAGTCTGAACACGCGGTAAGACATACGCACAGGAGAAGAGATGCCTGTGAGTGCCCAAAATGCTAATAAATTGTCATTGTCACCAAAGGAAAAAGACAGTGGTATTTGTAAACCTTTTTCTCTGTTTTTCAGATTTCCTAGAATGTGATCACTTATCCTCGATAAAGATTATTTTTAAAAAACACACTTTAGTGGGGCACCTGGGTGGCTCAGTCGGTTAAGCACCCGACTCTCCATCTCAGCTCGGGTCTTGATTTCAGGGTTGTGAGTTCAAGCCCCGAGTTGGGCTCCACCTTCAGCGTGGAGCCTACTTAAAAAAGAAAAAAAAGAGTTTCATGAAGGGAAAAGATCAAATGCTGATAGGTCAAGTAACATGAAGACTGAGAATTGATCACTCAATTTAGTCAATGTATATGATTTAACATGGTTCCTGTAGAGTGGAAGGGATGAAACTTGATGGGATTAAGCTCAAGAGAGATTAGAAAGCGTTTCTGGGAAAGGTCTTCTTTCTCCCTAGACATGGAAGACAAACCCATGGAGACCTTGGATATTCGGGCTGCCATCTTGAAAAACAAGCCCTACTCTGGGCTCCATGCTGGGCGTGGAGCCTACTAAAAAAACAATAATAATTACAAAAATAAATGAAATAAAAATAACACACTTTAAAAACTTTGTTGATCAACAGATACTAATAGAAAATAAATGGGATAGGGGATGCCTGGGTGGCTCAGTTGGTTAAGCGTCTGCCTTCGGCTCAGGTCATGATCCCAGGGTCCTGGGATTGAGTCCCGCATCGGGCTCCCTGCTCTGCGGGGAGCCTGCTTCTCCCTCTGCTTCTGCCTCTCTCTCTCTCTGTCTCTCATGAATAAATAAATAAAATCTTAAAAAAAAAAAAAAAGGAAAAGAAATGGGACAGACACGGATGGACTCTAGGACAAGGCCCACAGGTTGGGCCTGATCCAGTCAAGGGCTGAGAGGGAATCTGCTTGGGGGTCTGGAGGCCCCTCGGCTACAGCTCAACATCCCGGGGCAGTTATTAGCTCTGGACCCAGTAACTGAAGCTGAACCACACGCATGGGTCCAATCTCCCCCAATCGGTCATGACAGTGCCCCCGCGGCACAGGGAGACCAGCAAGAAAGCGCAGACCAGAAACGTTGGGGCTTTTGGCCCAACGTGCAGCTCATGGACGAGACCCATGGGGGCAATGTTATGATGCCCCCCACCCCAAGCACTGGGAGATCAGATTGTCTCCTAAGAGTTAAATTGTAGACTCGGCATCGATGCAGAGATCCCATCGTCCCGACAAAGAGACTGCAGAATTTGGCTGGAACCTGATTGAGGGCATCATGTTATTGGGAAAAATCACACAGGTGTCAGAAGGGAAGACGGGGTGGGCGGGTGACGGCAAAGGGCCATCAAGGCAGAGGCAAGCGTGTGAGTGGACTGCCCGGTGCTCTGGAAGAAGCAGGAGGCTGGTGGGGCCCGGGGCCTCAACACTCCCTGAGCAGTGACCCGGTTATCGCCGGCCTCATGTTCTTTCCCACGGGCGACACTCTGCCGGCCCAAGGATCAAGCATTAGCCCCTTTGGTGCTCACATTTCCTAGCAGACACGCATAACTTGGCAGCGTCTGGTGGACCCAATCCCTGCGAGCCGACCCTGAGGACACAGACGCACTCACGACATGATAGCAAAACCCGGCTTCTGGGCCAGGGGACTCCCCTGGGTATAGGGTCCTGCCACGCCCAGACGGCGACTGGGGTGCTGGCCTCGTGCCCCATCGTCCCGACCATCAGCCAGGACACTGCGAGCTTCCTGCATCTTCTAAACCGGTCTACATGCTACCAGCTGGTGTTTGGCATTTAGTTCAGTCGCTGAACTGGCCTGCAAGCCATAAGCGACGCTGTATGTTATTCTTGCGATGTCCTGACCTTGGTTAATCTGCCTCAGACTTCCTTCTTCAGACCCGTATGGTTGCAGATGGCGCATCTCTGCAGTTACGCCCTTCACAGCAGCCCACGTGGGCAACGTGCTTTGAAGGCGACCTCACTCCTCTGGGCCACAGTGTGGTTTTAGGGGGGACGCTGAACCAGACTTCCCATCCCTTGTTGTTAGGGGCATCGTGCGCGAGTGTGCACAGGTGTGTGCGTGTGCGTGTGTGTGTGAGCGTGCACCTATTTTGCTAAAATATCCACCCAACCTTCCATGGGTGCATATTTTAGAAACATATTTTAGGGGGCTCCCCGGCTGGCTCAGTCGGTAGAGCACGTGACTCGACCTCAGGGTTGTGAGTTTGAGCCCCATGTTGGGTGCAGAGATTACTTAAAAATAAAATCTGAAAAAAATTAAAATTAAAAAAAGAGAGTTTTAAAAAAAAGTGTTCAAAAACATGATTTTTTTTTTTTTCTGTTAGTCAGATGGGCGCCATCCTGACGGCCGAAATCTCGCCAGGCTCTGGAACCCCCGGTGGGGTGTGACTGTCACGGCCTTGTGGGGAAATACCTGCCAGGTCTGTGCATGTCCGTCCCCCAGAGGTCCAGGCTCACAGAGAAGGCAATGCTATAGCGTAATGTAGACTATAATACTCCTGGGCGTGGGTGCAGCCCTGCAGCCAAGTCAGACCGCGAGGAACCTCCCCGCCCCGGTGGGAATCTCCCCCAGACGCGGCCCCGCGGCGCACTCCGCGGTGGGGAAGGAAGCAATGACCAGTCGTCACGCTGAGATTCGGAAAGACCTCTGGGACCTGTCGGCAAATGAGAAAAGCAAGGCCCACGACGGTGTGTATGCAGCGAGCTACCACGGCGCGTGTGTGCCTCGTTTGCGGGGGGGGGTTGTTTTGTTCTTTTTTCTTCATCACAGGACCAAAGAGGAGCAGTGCCTCCCAGCTGTCTGAGCACCAGAGACCGTGCTGCAGGGCTGACGAGAGCGGTTCATTCATCCTTCTGCCCTCCGCCAGGCTCGGTGCCGGGTGCGGGCGCCGTGCGCTGCCTCGGGAACCCGGCCACCGCATCTCGGTCCCCATCACCTGGGGCGGTTTGGGGAGTTGAGGCAGCACTGGGCCCGGAACCCCTGCGCCCGACTCCCTGGCCAAGCCACACCGGCGGGACGGAGGGGACTGGAGGAGGGCCCTCTTCCTTCCCCCTGGCGGGGAGATTAACACAGGATTGCGGTTGGAACGCGGCCCTCCACAGAACAATGGCCCAGGGATGGTTTCCGCACACAGGTGGTGAAAAGCAAAGCAGAGGGACACCCTTCCTTCCCGGAGATAAATACCCCTTTCTCCTTCTCTCACCGTTTGTCCTAATCTTCCCAGGAAGTCTGAGCACAAAATCTCTGCTGCTCCTGATACCGCAGAAAGTTTGAAAAGACTTAAGAAACGTTGAACGTTGGTGAACAATAGGGAGCTTGCAGGGCGGAAGCTGAGGCTGTGGGGCCGCAGGTGCACCCCCTTTGTCCCAGCAGATCCAGCAGGAAGGGCGCTGTGGGCGCACCTGGGAGGAGGTCGGGGTGCAGCGGCCCCCACCTCCGCGGTGCAACTGCAGGGCAGCCGGAGGCCCTCCCGGGTGTGCCCATACCTGAGTGCCTCCTGGATGGTCCTGTGGGCCTCGTCGCGATGCTTCATGCCCACCAGGCAGGTGGCCCACTGCTGCAGGATGTGCCTTTTCTCCATGTTGATGGCGTCTATCTCCGTGCAGGCCTGCGGTGGACAGTCAGGGTTACGTGGACGTTGGTCTAACCTCATTACGCTCAAGGCCCCAAGAGAATGTCCGAAAGCCCCAAATGTCCTGAATCATCTCCTTTCCCTGCGTTACCCTTGCTTTTCTTACCACGCACCAGCAAAAGGATAAATGTGAAAAGAAACACAGCTCTAAAGACACATCGAAACGCCCACCTGAGCCCTGACTCCGCGCCCCAAGGCACTCAGTGCCAGGGGGTCGAGGAGGAGAAGAAGGTGTCCAGCAGGGACGGGCACCCATCGTACCCGGACCCCGGACGCCGGGGGTGGGAGGGTGTCGCTGATTCTCACAATGAGTCCTGTCCACAGGCCAGAGTTTCGGTCACAAGAGATGGGTACAGCCTCTGTGCCTGAGACCCCCTCCCGTAAGAGCTTGTGCTGTCGAGAATGACCTGGCAGCTCCGTGGGAGCGTCCGTCAGGCCCTGTGCATGCACGTGCGTCATCGTATTCTCTATGTTGTTTTATAACCTGGAATTAAAAATTAGCGTGTTGTGCCCAGGTTTCCATGTCAGCAAGTATTATTTGATTGTTGGGACAGTCTTCCACTGCACGGATATACCATGACTTTTGTAACCAATGCCCTCCCCTTGGGACTTTGCCATCATACCCAACACAGTGTCCCCACTGAATCTCTATTCATTTTGCTTGTGGAGTTTTTAATGTAAAAAAGTTTTACTTGCATGCCTCTTCAGTAGTTTCCTTGGCATGAAGCCCAGGTGATATTTAGGAGGGGGCAGGGGAGTTTTGGGGGGTGGGGGGTGTAGGGGAGCACATGTGTTTTTGCTACCCGCCTGGGAGCGCCACTCCCCCCTGCGCTGGTTTCGGGCTATCAAGGGCTCCTCATCCGTTCATTCAGTGTCTCTGGTGCACCTGCTATGGGCCACGTGCTGCTCCAGGTGCAGGAAGGCAAAAGGAACAGGACGCGGGGCAGCCCTGCCTGGAGGGAACACACCCAGCAGGGAGGGGCAGAAGGCACCGGGAGGCGTAAGCTCGTGTGTGTGTGTGTCCACGACCATCCCGCGGTAGAACCGGGCATGGGGTATTTCTTACTGATTTGCACAATCTCTTCCCACCACCAAACTCCCTGGTGGGTCTCCCGTCTTTTCATGTTGTTGGCGGCACCCTCAACCTCCAGGGTCTGTGGTTGGCGTGCATCGCCCTCCCCATCAGCTCCGTTAGAGTGTCTGCTCTCTGCGCTAGGTTTAGAAAGGCCTCTGCAACTCTGGATTTAAAAAATATTTTTCTTGGGGTGCCTGGGTGGCTCAGTCGTTAAGCGTCTGCCTTCGGCTCGGGTCATGATCCCGGGGTCCTGGGGTCGAGCCCCGCATCGGGCTCCCTGCTCGGCGGGAAGCCTGCTTCTCCCTCTCCCACTCCCCCTGCTTGTGTTCCCTCTCTTGCTGTGTCTCTCTGTCAAATGACTAAATAAAATCTTTAAAAAAAAATATTTTTCTTGTATTTTCTTCCAGTACATTTCCCCCATTTACATTCTTGATCCCATCTGGAATTCATTTTCATGTCTGGTATGAGGAAAAGATTTGATTTTTCCCCAAATGATTAACCAAATGTCCCTAGTCTGCTGTGCATGATTCATGTGTTCTCCATTAATTTATAATCCACTCAAGTTTTATGTAAACCTTTGCTTCTTTTGGGGGTCTACTCATAGGCTACCATGGCCCGCCTGTCTATCCCAGACCACAGGGACACATCATTTCACCTTCCAGGCTTTAGAGTGGGCAATATTTGGTAGGGCAACGTCAGGAGGACCCGCCAGCCTGGTGTGTCTGGGACTCTCCTGCCTTTAGCACAGCAAGTCCCACATCTCAGGAGACCCCTCCGTTCTGGGCAAAACCCGTCCTGAATTTCCCTTTCCCAAACAATTCCTGGCCAGTCCTCCGAATGTATGCTTCGGATAAACCTCAGAATCTCTTTGCTAACTAAAAACTGCCTTTTTTCCCCCTGAAATTCTAATCAGAACACATTCTAGACCCACAGGCTGGAGAGCCCGGGCCACTTTCCCACACGGACCCAGGTGTGCCTGTCCATTTCTGCAAGCGTTTTCTTTTCCCCAGTAAAAGTGGCTTGTTTCCTTCGTGTCGTTCCTGCGCACACGAGCGCAGATGGTGATGCACAGATTAAAAAAAAAAGAAGAAGAAGACGTGGCAGTGCTGGTTCCTGGTGTCGACCTCGGAACATGGTGCTGCACTGAGTCCTTCCCGCCGGGGCTCAGCCTCGTTAGGGAGGCAAGAGGCCACTCCCGTGAGGACCCGGCCGACAAGCAGACTCAGATGTCCGGCTTCCCGGAGGCCTTCCGAGCTACCACTGGCTGTGGCCGAATAGAAACGGCCCCGCCCCACCGTCCCCACCGTCCCCACCACGGGTCAGCCTGAGCTGCTTCAGGAGGCACACCGCGGCGGCGGGAGCTGCATCCACCTGGCCCTCGGCAGCGAGCCGGCGCCCTGCGGCAGGCACTAAGTGGGTGTCCCGAAGCCGAGCGCGGTGGTGATGCTCCTACCTCGCTCACGGCTTTCCTGAGAGCCCGCGTGTCCTCGGCCTGGGCAGAGCTCTGAGCCTCCAGCAGCGCGATCTGCTCTTCCAGCTGGTTGGCTTTGGTGGTGAGCTGGTCCACGTGAAGGTCCTGGGAAACAAGACCACGGGCCCCTCCAGCATACTCCTCCACCAACTTCCAACCCAAGCCAGCGAACCCCAGGCCGGCCGCAGCCTCCTAAGCAGGAGGCTGAGCGGAGAGACTTTTGGGAAATCGAAGGTTTGGGGGTAATGGCAAATGCGTTGAAGTCGAGAGTACCTGCTTCTTCTTCTCCACCTCGGCCCGCATTCGCTCCACCTCGGACTTCTTCACCACTTGCTTCATCACGTGGATGTCGTCGCGCAAGTCCTGGTCTATGTTCTGCATGTAGAAGAGATGCAGAGCCAGGCTCTCCAACTCGGCTTGCAGAGCCGCCACTGCGGGGGAGGACGGGGAAGGCCGCTCAGCATCCCACACATGTTGTCTCGGGGCCCAGAGCTCCGGAAGGCTCTCTGGCTGCCCTTGTGGACCCAGCCTGTTGTGGGTCCCACCCACAAAGACTCAGACTTTGCCATCAAAGCCTTACAGCCTAGTTGGAGAGACAAAGATGTAGGTAATCCGTGTCCAGCATCACCACGAGCCGCTCGGTTGCCCGCTGTGTCTTAGAGGCCCTCCCCGTGCCTAAGGATCTGCTGAGACACTGTCAGGCTACGAGGCCTCGCGTTAGTCTTACAGATTTCTTACCGCTTAGCCATTGGCAATCTTAGGTAGAGTCCCACATCCTGGGAGGAAACCCACCCAAGGGGGCGCTGAGCTCTGCCACAGCCCCCCCGGCCCCCCGACTGAAATGGCCATGTGGGGGCACAGGCCAGGAGCACCGGAGCTTTCCTCATGGGCCAGGCTCACCAGCACAGCACTTCCACTCCCCACTCAGAGCCACATGGCGGATTTCCGTCCAGCGCTCGCAGGAGACCGCACCCCGAGGAACCGACTCCTTTTAACAAAACTCACGGGAGATTGATTTATGAAGCCAGATTACCAATTCGTTTAGGGAGCTAACTCTAAATCAAGAGTCATTTGCTGTCTTGCATAGAGCGTTCCTTTATAGGTGGATAAATGCACGCAGAACACCGATTTATAGAATAGAAATATAAATTCACCCCGCTGAGTGGCAGGCATCCTTGAAGGGTGTAGCTTAACCCTGAAACACATTACTTTGCACCCAAGGTGACTGTAAAAATTCCAACGCTGGCCAATTCTATGGCTCCTGCGTGGGTAGGAACTATGGGGGTGGGGAGCAGAAGCAGGGACAGGGAGGTGTTGTGGTCAGAGCAGGCCGGGGCGGAGACTGCATTTGGAGAGAGGGTCTTCACAGAGGTAATTAATGTAAAATGAGGTCCTGTGAGTGGGGCCTAACCCCTCGTGGCTGGTATCCTTAGGAGAGGAGATCAGGACGCAGACGCACAAGGGACCACCAGGTGAGGCCCCGGGGAGAAGGCCCCGGGAGAAGGCCGTGGCTACAAGCCCGGGAGATAGGCCTTGGGAGGAACCAGTGCTGCCCACGCCTGGCTCTCGGACCTCCAGCCCCCAGGACATGAGAAAACAAGCCCCCACGGCCGCCGAGCTGACCGATTCACCCTCCCACCTAAAACGTGCGAGACTCACGTCGACCCTTCCTTAAGAGCGCTGAGTTCAACCCTGCTTTGCTTCACTGAGTAACAAAAAGTCAGTACTTCCAGTGCTTGTTTAAATCTGCATAAATATCAGTGCAGTTGAACCTAGTTTCACTGTTTTAATGACCATGTTTGTCCCTCCTCCAAATCGCTTGCTCATGTCCTTGGCCACACAGCTATTGGGATGTTTGCCTCTCACTGGGCGGCTTCTAGGAACTCTTGATGTGATCAAGGCAGGGTGGGCAGAACTTGAAGACGCCTCCCAGGGCCTCTGCCACCTGCTGTGACTGCTGTGATGATGTTGCTTATCTGTCCCAAGGGAAATTACGGGGCCTGGCCTAAGCAGGTGAGTCCATCTAAAGCAGAGAGTGGTGTCCAGCTGGTGGCGAAAGAGGAAGTGAGGGAGATTCTCAGGGTGAACTGGATTCGATGAGAAGGAAATTCTCTGCAAAGCTGGCCCGAAGAAGGGAGGGGCCCATGGCAAGGGACGTGGGAGGCCTCCAGGAGCTGAGAACCGCCCCTGCGGACAGCCCCGAGAGGAAGCAGCCCGTCAGTCCTACAACCCTGAGGAGCTGAATTCTGCCAAAGACATGAACGAGGCTGGAGTCGGATTTTCCCGGGTGTTCCCAAGAGACCCAGCCAACCAGCTCTAGGGTTTGGCTTTGGGATACCCATGAGGGGAGCCCAGTCGGCCACACCAGGCCTCTGACCTCGGGCCGTGTGGGCGTGCAGACACACGGGCTCGTGTTGAGCCCTGAAGTCTGTGGGAATTTGTTTCCTGGCAACGGAAAAGTAACTCGGAACATATGGAGGTTGTCACGGATGTGCAAATGGGGTTTGCCCCCAACTTGTGTTTGTCTTTTAACTTCGTCATGCTTCTTGATAATTTTCATGTTTTTGTATAAACAAAACTGTCAAATTCCTCCTCTGTGGCCTCGTACTTCACATCACGCTCCGGAGACCCGCCTCAGCCCAAGATGATTAACAACAACAACTACAGCGGCCTTACATATTCCTGTAATGCTTCTGTGATTTTCTTAAATATTTACTGCAGACTTTATTTTTTGTATAGTGTGAAATAGGGGTCTAAGTATGCATTTAAGATGGCCAAATGGTCAAGCAAATATGTATTGGCTTAGAGATGCAGTCTGTCTGTTTATCTAACCTGCAGAAAATGGCTGGATCCCCACATGAGCTCCCCAGCATCCTCTGCTCTCCACCATCCGTGCTTCTTCCCCTTTGGTGCCGTTCTGGTTTTACTGCTGTAGATTGATACCGTGTTTTGACACCTGATAAGACTATTTTCCTTCATTATCTTTCCTTTTCAAAATTTTCTTGGGTAGTCTTGTGCATTTAATCTCCTGAGTAAACTTTAAGATCAATTTGTGCAGGATGGGAGCTTTTTACGTATTGATACAGAATCTTCTCGAGCACACGTCGGGAAGCGGGAAGCGTGGGTATGGCACAAAGCTACTTGTTTAAAAAAAAGATACCCTCGTAACTTTGCTTTTATACGCAAAAACATCTTTAAAGAAACACACGAGAACCAATTCCACCCCCCGCCCCCTGGCCCTGGGTGCCTCTGTGGAGGGTCCTGGGGGAAGGGGAGGCAGGAGACTTCCCATCCCAGAGCTCTCGACTTTTGAGTGATTACTTCTTGAAAATGAATAAATAGGGGCACCTGGGTGGCTCAATTGTTCAGCTCTGCCTTGGCTCAGGTCATGATCCCAGGGTCCTGGGATCGAGCCCCGCATCGGGCTCCCTGCTCGGCGGGAAGCCTGCCTCTCCCTCTCCCACTCCCCCTGCTGTGTTCCCTCTCTCGCCGTGTCGCTCTCTGTCAAATAAATAAATAAATAAATAAAAATAAAATCTTTAAAAATAAAATTAAAAAAAAGAAAGTGAATAAATACACGCCTATGTCAAATAAATTTAAGGTCACCCAAAATACCCCATCGTGGACTTCAGCTGGAACAGCACTGAACAGCATGTTGACTGGGACAGAGGCGACACGTCCGTATCGTGCAGCTTTCCTCCCAGTAACAAGGCAGCTTTACTTATTGAAACCTGTTTTATGTCCCGTAGCGAGATTTTATTGTTTTTCTCCGGATAGGCTCACTCACTTCTTGTTAGGTTTATTCTAGGTATTTTATGGTTGTTATAATCATGATGGATGAGATTTGTTTTTTTTTTTTTTTGAATTTAGTTCTTAACTGGATATTCCTGGGATAGGAGAAAATGCTAGCTCTGACATTCACCTACTTTACTTTCTTTACTGTTTCTAGTACTGGGTTTTTGTTTTTGTTTTTAATTATTATTGGTAATCTTGGATCTTCTAGGAAACAATCATATGATTGGTAAAGCATGAGAATTTCATGTCCCAAATCCTCACCTCATTTATTTTGCCTGTTGGAGGCTCCGGGACTGTGCCCATGGCCTGGGGCGGCTTCCCCGTCTCCCTCCTGATCCTAGCTGTACCTTCTCCAGTGTTTCCCACTCAGGACAGTTTTCTGGTTCGTTTCTGAAAACATTATAAAGAACTTTCCTTCTACCTAGTTTAGGATGGATGGTAAGTGTTTGCAAAGACCCGTTTTGCATCCACCCAGAAAATCCTTTGTTTTTCCCTCTCCTTTAACTTACTAATAGAATGCCTTAAATTAGCAGCTTTCTTAATTTCAAATGATTCCTGAATTCCACAGGAATTCCACCCTTCTCTGTTTGCTACTAATTTATTTAGGATTTTCTTGCCTCCTGGTGGGATGGCTGTGCAGTTTCTGTGTTGGAGGCTGTCCGTGTTTGCAGCCAGGGCTATCCTCCCCGTTCTAACACCAGCCTGGGAAGTTTCCCAGATTTCCCGCCCCCCGGAGGGCTGGACAGCATGGGGGGGGTGTCTGTTCCTTTTGCAGTTAGTAGTGGGGACCCGTCCATAACGAACAAACTGGTGCTTTCAGGGGAAATCGATGTCTGACAACGTTTTCAGTTTCTTCAATGATGAACCCAGTACAGAGCGTGGCCTTCTTGAAATGAAAACCAATAATGCCTCTGAATTGTCCTCATTCCCAGGGCTGCTACTTGGAGGACACACGTTTTGTTCTTCCCCGGGCAGGCCAGAAGTTTACTCAGCATGTTGGTCATTTCAAAAATGGAGTATTTTTATCTCTCAGGCGAACTCGTTTTTTTTTTTTTTTGTACCAGTTTCAGCTATTTTACTTTATTAACTCCCTCTTCCTACCTCTTTTGTTTCTGTTTTGTTTTGTTTTGTTTTTCGCTCTTTTTCGGCCTCTGGAGTAGAATGTTTGATTTTCGGTCTTGTTAATGAAAACTATGCAAGGTCCTGGGTTTTATCGGAGTGCTTTCCGCTGAATCCAGAAGTCCTGATACGTGGACTCCCTTTGCCACTAAATCCCTAACTAGTCGGTGATCTCTGTGTGGACAGGACTCTGTCCTCTTCCCTTACAACGTTCCGAGCATCGCTACTCTGTTATTTATGTTTGAGACCTGTGATTCTCAGCCCCAACTGCACATTAGAATAACCTGGAAGGCTTCAAAAAACAAAACAAAACAAAAAACCAAGGCAAGAAACACAACATCCGGGGCCTTGGCAGAACAGCTGAACAGGGGGTGTGTGCCTGGCTGTGTGCGCCCCAGGGGCTCCTGCCAGGGACAGCAGGTTGCTCTCCGCCTGCCGCAGTATGATTCTGTCCGGCCTGGAACCCGGCAGCATTTTTTCCCTTAGCTTTGGAATTTAAAAATCTCACCAGCTGTGCCTAGGTATGTTCATTCTGTTTTCCAGCTGTCGGGTCCTCCGAGCACCTTTATATTTGAAGACTCACCTTTCCTGAGCTCACGCTGATGTTCTCCTCTGATGTCGCCCGTGAGCGTCCCTGATCTCCTGGGACTTCCGTCTGATGGGCATCCACGGTTCCAGATCTCACACCCATGCCTTGTATCTCCTTCTCAAAACATCCACCACTTGGGGTTTTCCCTCTGAGTTCGGGGAAGAACTCCTCAAACTGGCCTTTTGGTTTACAAGTTCAATTTTCGGCAGTATTGCTTTGTCTGTTTAGTGACTTTTGTTTTGTTCTTTTGGGAGGATGGTTATATTTTTTAATTCCAAGTATCCTTTTACCTAACACTGTGCTCTCGTTTTACTGATGTGACGTCCTCTACAATCTCACACTCTTTTCTGTTTTTGGCGTCCGCTCTGTCTGTCCAGCCCCATCCCCTGCAGTCTGGGGGCGCTGCCGAGCAATCGCATTTTGATGGGAAGTTTCAGTGACTCTCTCCCAGGGGAGGCACGCACTCGTGGACATTCTCCAGCGGCAAACACCCATATTTCAGGGCAGTGGCAGCACCGAATTCCCTAGTGCTCGGAAGGGAGAAAGGGTAATGTTTCTGGAATCCTTGCTTGGTTGAACAGCTTCTGTTCCTGTGTTTTGGTGACCTCCAGAAAGGACACAAAGTCCAAGAAGATGTTTGCATCTCTCCAGAAGCCTGGCCACACTTTGAGCCTTCACTGAGTGGCGCTGGTGTGGAGCACGTGGGGGGCCTGGGTCCTCTTTCAGGTCGGTCTAAATTCTGTCCCACCTGGAGCATCTTTATTGTTTTTGCATGAATGTCACGTTCTTCTCTTCCTGGTATTTTCTGTTAATTTGGTGGAGATAAAGGAGCACTTAGCCTGACTCTGTCAGTCCAGAAAGTTCTGCATTTCTCAGGGTCGGAAATGTCTCTTTGCCGCCACAGTTAGAGTGTCCGTGTGGTTCTGTTTTCTGCGTAGGCTGTTTTCCCCGCTGTGGGTTGTGGTAATCACACACAGCTGATAAACAAACTTGGGAACAAAAAACCCCACAGACTGAAGCAATCACAGCAGAGTGCGCAAAGCGGGGGTTCACGGGGCCCACAGCCTGGCCCTGTGCAGGGAGGTGTTTTACTGGGCAGAGACCTATCGCCTCATCTGGTCCCAAGCCTCCCGGTTTCGCCAGGATCTGCCGTACAGCCGGGGCTGCGGCCATCCCCCGGGCCGCTGTGCTCGGGATTGGCCGCATCCGTGGGTCCCCGCTTATTTAAACCCTGCCCCCCTCCAGCAGCCGGCCGGCCTCTCCGAATGTTGACTCTGCCTGCCTGCCTTGTTCGCTGCTTGGCCCAATCAGGTGCCTTTTGAGACACCGACGCCTTCCCTCCCTAGAAGGCTGCGACCTCCCCCAGGACACGACCACATGGCGCTTTTCTCGACGCCCTGGGATGGCACGCAGGGATGCCTTTCCGGGACGAGCGGGCCCGTGGGACGCGGGGGTGCGCCACTGGATTGCGAGGGCACTTGGCGATCGGGGCGCCATGGCAACCGGGACCCCGAGCCTTACGCTTCTTGCGCTCGTCGTTGGCGGTCTCGCAGGTCCTGGCGTAGCGGAGGCGCGCGCTCTGAAGCTCCTCCTCCCTCTGCCGCCTGGCGCACGCCGCAACCGAGTGGAGGTCGTGGTTTTTCTCGAGCTGCATCTGCAGGCGGGCCAGGTGCTGCTGGACTCCGTAGAGGTCCACGCCCAGCTCCTGTCGCTGCACGCGGCTTTGCTTGGTGGCCACACTCTGGGGGGCGGGGGGGGGAGAGAGCGGGTCACGGGCCGGAGGCGCACGGCTGGGCAGGAGGCTGGACGGGCAGGTACGCACCAGCTCTTGAAGTTCCAGTTTCAGCTTCTCTATCTGGCGGTTAAGATGGCTCTTCAGCGCAGCCTGGAACCTTACCATCAGGGGCTGAAACGACGCAGAAGCAAGCCTGGTTGCCCCCCTGCCCAAGCAGGGCGCAGCCTAAGTCGCCAGCGCTCCCCCGTACTCCACGCTGGGTGCCCCTCACTTCTGCCAGGGACTTGCGCCGGCAGCCACAGACTAAGGGCACTCAAGGTCCCGTCCCAGGCACTGAAGACCTGAGTCCGCATTTTGGCAAAAAGACAGAGTGAGCTGGAGTGGTGGTCCTGGTTTCTCCCCAGGGATGCGGGAGTGCTGCCAGCACCGAACGAGCCCTGAGCCTCTTTTCCCGGAGCAACCGCCAATCTCTCCCACCGGGAGCACCCTGGCTTTCCAAATGGGCTCATGCAATCAGGATTCGCCTTCGCCGCGTGCCAGAGGGTGGGGCGTGGGAACTCGGGTGGTGCGCTCCAAGCTGGGGCTCTGAACTGGGGGTACTGTGCTCCCACCCAGCATCCAGGATGTCTGGAGACATTTCTGGCTTCACGGCTAAGGGGCAGCGGCGCTCCTGGCCTCTAGCGGGTGGAGCCGGGGGTGCTGCCCCGGACAGCCCCGCCCCAGAGTGACCGGGTCCCAATGTCGGCAGTGCCAGGGTTGAGGATTGCCGACTCTGGGCGAATGAAACAGAAAGGAGAAGACACCTCACAGAGCAGTTTTGCAGAGTGGGCGAGGGGTGGGGCGGCGCTGGGGGCAGGGCGTGGGGCGCGGGGGCACAGGCGAGCTCAACAGCAGGTGAGGGGGCGCCTCTGATCGCGCTCGGTGTCAGGGCCCCAGCAGGGCCTGGGAGCACGTGCTTACGTGGTCGGGGTCCAGAACCACCAGCTGGTGTCTGTCTTCCTCGGCCTCGTCACTCCCCTCCGACTCCATTCTCTCGACAGTCCCTTCTTCGGCGGTGCCCAGCTGCTGGATCTGGTCCAGGAAGGCCGGCGGGGCTCCTCTCCCCGGCTGCGCACCAGGCTCCTCTGGGGGGCCATCTGGGGGCAAGCATCACGGAGGGGTTATTGCAGTGGCTAATGAGGCCACTTTCCAGGTGCTGTCAGGCAAGGCTGATTTCCAGCCTCATGCAACACAATGGAAAAGAGAAAGAAAAGGCATCCCATGGGTTAGGGCTCAGAAACGCTGCTTACAGTGTCTTCTGTTCATCAATCTGCTATTCGTTGGTTCAACATGTTCCACAGAAGGGATCGCATTTTAAAGGTAATGCATATTACCTTTAATACATTCCAAGAAGGAAATATATTTTGTAGATACTTTTTTAGACATAGTGAACAGAAGGTGCCTTCTTACTCATGGGCTACCTTGATTTTATTTTATTTTATTTTTGAATGGGAAACAGCTGATAAGATTGAAAAGATATATCAGTGAGGCTCTAGTTCCAGCTTCCCTATCCTCCTGAGCTGGAGAGATCCTGTTCTGTTTTAACGAGTTTAAAAACTCGTTCAGATGTGTGCTGTCTTCACCTCACTGGTGAGTGATGCAAAGCTTTGTTAGTTGCACCATCCATGCTCGTGTATCATAAGGAATAAGAAATATCCCGGTCTGCTTTCCCACATCCACAACACTGGGATACAGGACAGGGTATGCCGAGCGACCCTTGGAGACTCAGCAAACACGCAGGCTTAGGGGTGTTGTTCCTGAGCCCCTCTCTGAGACCAGGAGGCAGTGAGGGGTGGCGGTCAGGGGCTGTGGTTTGGGACGTCATCGGATCTCTCAGTCAAGGTCTGGTTCTGCCACATACTCGGGTAGGTCACTAAATGACTCTTAGAGTCTTTGTAAAATGGGAGAATGGGTCCTACCTCATTGGGTTACTATAAGGATTAAATGAGATAAAACACAGTGAATGCTCCATAAATATTATTCCTATCTGTTAATAACATTTCTATCTTTCAGCTCCCAGCTGAATGGGAAACGAGGTAACAGATGATAAATGAGTGGTACCCCTTGCACAGAAGGGGATATGAAGGGGCTCATCCCGTGGGCAGGACAACCCGGCAGGTGCCACGGTACCTAGCTCCTGGATGAAGGGCTCCTCCGTGCTCAAGAGCAGCTCGTCAAAGTCTGAGGAGGTGATGCTGCTCCCCTGGCTCAGTCGGAGGCGGTGTCGTGCCCCCAGAGGAAAGACTTCCTGCTGGAGCCCTTCACCGGATATTTTCTAGAGGAAGAACAACGAAACCTAAATCAGTGAGGCCTTAATCAGGACTGAAAAGTTATTTGATTTTGATCTATTGCAGTGTTCGAAATTCAACATAATTGCTGAAGCGTGGAAAACAATTTGGAGGGGCGCCTGGGTGGCTCAGTCATTAGGCGTCTGCCTTCGGCTCAGGTCATGATCCCAGGGTCCTGGGATCGAGCCCCGCATCGGGCTCCCTGCTCTGTGGGAAGCCTGTTTCTCCCTCTCCCGCTCCCCCTGCTTGTGTTCCCTCTCTCGCTGTGTCTCTCTTTCAGAGAGAGAAAGAAAGAAAGAAAATAGCTTCTCTTGTTAAAAATGCCTGGCTCCATTTGAGCTTTAAAAGAGACTCTTACAATTATTACTGTTGACAATAATTATTGCTGATGATGATCTGGTGAGGATTAGTAACAACAATGACCCTGCATAACACTCTTTGAGGCAGATATGAGTCACCTCTGTTATCTGAGGGGGAGCAGCCTCATGGAAGCTAAAAACCTTGCCTGAAGTTCACACACGCAGCCAAGGGCAGGTACAGAGTTGGGATGCCTCAACCCACCGCTCGTGCTCTTTCTAATACTTCCTCAGATGATGCTGATTCTAGAAACCATCTCTGAGGCAGCCAGAACCGTGATGATAGTAATGGGGGCCCAGAGTCACAAGCCCACCTCTGGGGTGTCCAGAAAGGGCTTCCCCTACCAAGAAATCGAGGAGGCATCCACACGCCAAGACACGAAGCAGCTCCCACTCTGCAATTCCTGTTCCTTCTAAGGACTGAGCACCAGCCGGGAGGAAGGGAAATAGGGCTCTCACTCAGGTTTGTCTCTGCCTTTCTGGTTGATCACATTTGGAAACTGTTTCCCGGTAACTTTTCTAGAAATGGGACCCGAGGATGGAAACTGAGTTTATAGCTCAATAAGTGACCCACACCTCAAATCTCCTGGACATCTTACAAGGTGAAGACAGTTGTTTTCTGAGCTTAATTAGCGATCATCAAATCATGTTACTCTCCAAGGTTATTAACTCTTTAGGGGTCACCAGGTGGGGTGGGATCGTGGCTTTTCGGTTCAGAATGGTGGCTGCGGAACAAGAGCAACACGGCTGCTTGACTCTGGGCAGGGAAGGCCGTCCACCCGCGTCCTCATCTGTCCAGGGGGGTAATAAGAGTTCTCACCCCAGAGGGTTGTGGTCAGAGTCACTGAGATGGAATGTCAAGGGCAAAGGCATGTCCAGACCAGAGGTGAAGATGGAGGAATGTAACCCTGCTCCTCGCTTTCTTTCCAGAACAACTCAAACCTGCAGCCAGCAGCGGGGGCAGAGGAGAGCGGGCTTCAGAGGCCGAACCCGTGGGGAACCCTCACAGCACAAGTGGGACCAGAGTCCCCACAGAGGACAGCCTGCCACAGTCAGAGCCCAAATATTTGGGGGCTGGCCTGGGTGGGCTTGGCCCAGCAGTGATAAGAGTGACCAGGGCAGCCCAGTGTGGGGGCGTCCGGGTTCAGGTGGGGTGAGGACAGTCCACGTGGGGGTGGAGAAATGCAGTGAAGGTTACATCCGGGGGATGGATCAAGTTAATAAGTACGTTAGGGAGAATGGGGACTAGCCTTCTCATTGCTGGAAAAAGGACTTGGACATACGGAAGGGGAGGGCACGGAGAGGAACCCACTCAGTGGGGAGTTGTGTTAGAGAGGGGTTGGTGTGAGCTGTGTCTGAATGCAGCGTGTGGTGTGTGTGTGTGTCATGTGTGTATGATCCTGAGAGAGCCTGGGGACAGTGGACCTAGCGCCCAAATCATGACTTCTGAATTTTATCTTCCACGAAAAGAAACCAGGCTCCTGGAGAAATGTCTGATTCTAGGGCCGGGCACTCTGTGCCAGAGAACGAGAAAGCGCTCCAAGGGTGACAGCGGTTACAAGAAAGAATGATACCCGTGTGTCAGAAGGACACAAAGGCCAATTTAAATGGGCTCTCGGGGCGCCTGGGTGGCTCAGTTGGTTGAGCGACTGCCTTCGGCTCAGGTCATGATCCTGGAGTCCCGGGATTGAGTCCCGCATCGGGCTCCCTGCTCGGCAGGGAGTCTGCTTCTCCCTCTGACCCTCCTCCCTCTCATGCTCTCTCTCTATCTCATTCTCTCTCTCAAATAAATAAAATCTTAAAAAAAAAAAAATAAAATAAAATAAATGGGCTCTCACCGGCCAAACTGGGGACAATTTCTATTCAGTGTTGTGCTGGAAGTTCTAGCCAGTGCAAGAAGGCAAGAAGAAGATATAAAGGGCATCCAGATTGGGAAGGAAGAAGTCGAACCGCCTTTATTCACAGAGAACATGATCATCTTTATGAAAAATCCTATGATTCTACAAAAAAAAAAAAAGAGCTACTAGAACTACCAAGGGTGTTTCACAGTGTTGCTGAATATAAGATCGATATACAAAAATCAGTCGTGTTACCATATTCAGTACCGCAGCAAACAGCTGGAAGCCATTTCCAAAGGCATCAAAAATGCAAAATAGCTAGGGACAAATCTGACAAAAGATGGGCCTATACGCACTGCTCAGAGAAAGATGAACTCCTAGCAATATGGTGGTAATCTGTTGTGATTTGAAATCCTCACGTTTCCTATCTTAACCAAAAAGAGCACCTTCCCACACCATTTTTCTTAAATGCAAAGGGGCAGAGGAAAACCTCCCAGTGGAGAAGCCTCGGGGTCTTCAGCACCATCACTGGTCATGGGACAAACTACAGTCAGGGCACTACTGCGTGGGGCATAAGGAGAACCAGCCTCCCTCCGTGACCCCTTTCCAAGGGATCATAACCCAGATCGCCACAAGAGGAGAACCAGGCAAATCCAAACTGAGAGCCATTTTAAAGGTGGCCGGCTGGTGAGCTTTGGAAGTGCCAAGGTCATTGAAGTCAAGGAAGGATTAAGACCTAAGAGGTGGGACAGCCAAAGGCAACATGTGATTTGGAACTGTACCTCTGCTCTGAAAGGTGTCACTGGGACACCTGGTGAATGAGGCCTGAGCATTATTTGGTGATGTAATGACAGTTCCTGAGTTTGAGAGCTGTTATTTCAGTTGTTTGGGAAACACGCACGGAAGTTGGTGGCCGTGGTGCATCCGATGGTTGACTTACTCTCCAAGGCTTAAAAACATAACAAGTTCTTCTAATCCTACTTCAACTCTTCTATAAGCCCATGCTCATTTAAAAATTAAAAAATAATAAATAAATAAAATCTTAAAAAAAAAAAAAAAAAAAGGGCGCCTGGGTGGCTCAGTCGTTAAGCGTCTGCCTTCGGCTCAGGTCATGATCCCAGGGTCCTGGGATCGAGTCCCGCATCGGGCTCCCTGCTCGGCAGGAAGCCTGCTTCTCGCTCTCCCACTCCCCCTGCTTGTGTTCCTGCTCTCGCTATCTCTCTCTCTGTCAAATAAATAAATAAAATCTTAAAAAAAAAAAAAAAAAAAAATTAAAAAATAGAAAATTGTAAGACCGTAACTCTGTCATAATAATCATGATTATCTAGAATTACATTGTCCAGTGTGGTAGCCACTAGTAACCGGTGGTTATATAAATTTAAGTTAATTAGAACTCTGATTAAAAACTCAGTTCCTCCATCTCCCAGGCCGCATTTCAAGGGCTCTGTAGCCCCTTGTGACTGATGGCTGCCATGCTGGACAGCAAAGGTAAAGAGCATTTCCATCACCATGGAAAGTTTCACTGGAAGGCCTTGTTCTGGAAACCAGAAACCTGGATGCCCTTACATGGAATGTTCCCAAACCCAAGGTCCAGAAACTCTTGGCATGCAAGAGTGGGTCCCGAGACTTAAGTTTGCTAAGAAATCTCTAACAGAGATTGCAATTTGTTTTTATAATGTGCCCTGAGTTGCTCACATAGGGTGACAAACCACAAAGGCAGTCAAACACTTTCACAAAGTCGACCTCGGGGCACTTACCGATCTGCGAGCTCTGAGTCCAGAAGCATCCCGGCCTATTTGCTCGGGTGAGTCTACTACTTGCCGGGATGGCTGTGTGGAGATGTCCCCCAAATCTCTGGATTCTGATGGACGGGGGGCTTCTCTGTCTTCAGGAACACGTTCCCTCCCTACATGTTCATCCGGGTATGTGGGGCCCGCTTCCTCTTGGGGCACCGCCCCAGCACCGACTTCTGAATGAGCCAGATCTACAGAGCTGACTTTCCCTTCAGGGGAGGCAGCTTCCACATCGGATTCGAATTCCCCTTCAAATTCAAATTCGACTTCCTCCCCTTCAAATTCAAAGTCCTCTTCCGTTTCTACTTCTCCACTGATTTCCGCTTCTCCATCAATTTCCACTTCTCCCTCAGCTTCCACTTCTCCCTCAGTTTCCACGTCCCCCTCCGTTTCCACTTCTCCCTCAGTTTCCACTTCTCCCTCAATTTCCACTTCTCCCTCAGTTTCCACGTCCCCCTCCGTTTCCACTTCTCCCTCAGTTTCGATTTCTCCTTCAGTTGTGACTTTCCCAGAGGCTTCAATTTCCTCTTCAGAAAGCTCGGCAGCACCAACAGCTTCGTCAATGTTTTGGTCACCGGTCTTCCCTGTGGGTGACACCTGCAGATTTGTGGCAGGAAAAAAAAATCAGGAAACACAGTCAAAAACTCCTGTGAAGTTCTGCTCGTAATTGTGTAATTACACTGGTGGGAAAACTGCGTCTGCACACACCTACGTGTCCCTGGAAGATTAAGCTCCATATTCTACCTGTTCTCTCCAGTGTTTGTAATTTTTTGCGTCCTTTGTTAGAGAACCTGAGTTCTGAAAACCTCGGGGGTGATCTGAGTAGGGGATGTGGGGCATCCCAACTAGCTGCCAGCGCTTAAGAATGGGGAGAAAGGAAAATGAGTCTCTCTGCAAGGGGACTGAGTCTGTTCTAGTGCAAGGTATAGGATCCCCGTGCAGTTTTCTTGAGCAGAACTCTTAACTCTTTAATTCCCAGTAAAGACAAGCCCAGCACAGCCCACCCCACAGGGAACTTTACCCTGTCGCCTTCATTATTCTGGGCCTCTTCTCCTTCAGAAGTTGATTCGCCTTCCAGCTGAGACCTGGGTGCAGAAATACAGTTTAACAGTTTCAAAGAACAACGTTCTTTTTCTTGGCATTGATCACCTCCTGGTGTCTATATTCTTATTTACTTGTTGATTATATGCCTCCCCTCTAGGCTGTTGGCCATGACTTTGTCATGTTTACCACCAACCCCTGACACCTGGAGGGAGGGAGCGTCACAAAAGAGTTGTTCCATGAATGAATGAAAAATAATTATGGAAACATTCAGGGAACACCATCAGTACAACAGAAAAGTCACCTTAAATATACTTGTGTCTGGGGCCAAGCGGGAAAAGAAATACAGCGTAAGAGAAAGTTGCACAGAAGGCGCAAAGACTCAGAGACTCTTGGTTAGTTCCTCCATGATTTAGATAGTACAAAAACGTCATGATTTACGTTCTTAAAATTATTTTTTTCTAATTAAAAATACAAGCTCATTTTTAAAAAAAAGTCAAATACAGAAATGTGTGACACAGGCAACGAAAATCCTCTGCGACTTTCTCTCTTCTCAAGATAACCACTAGTAATAAAAGAGATTTAAGCGTATATTCTTGCAAATATTTTTCTATGCATTTAAACACACACACACAATTAGAGGCCACACCCTACATACTGTTTTTCACTTCGTCTTTTCTTTTAATGTAACCTGGACTGCTTTCCATGTCAGGATATATAAATCTATCTTTTAAAAAAAGTGAAACACTACTGGAGCGTCTAAGATAAAAGGTCCAATTCTTGAAAATAGTTTCTGTCCCCAGCCCAGCCCCCGCTCCTGGAGGTCTGGGGGTGGCAGGCGAAGAGTCGGGGTCCCCGCGGTCAGGAAGCCCCTCGGTGATCCTTCACACACAGGGAGACCTCAGGCAGGTAGGGATCCTGCCACCAGCCTCCGCGCTCTCCTGCTTTCTGTACAAGGACGCAAACTCTCGGCGAAGGCACGGCCGAGCATAGTGGTTGCCATGGTTACTGCGCGCCGAGCGAGCCCCGGGGTTTCGGGAGCCCGCGACCCGAGCGAGGGGATAGAGGGAGGGGACCGGGAGCTGACAAAGGGACGGGAGACGAGAAGGGGCGCGGAGGGCTGGGGTGGCCGGGGAGGCGCGAAGGGCCGCAGGGGCGGGGATGGAGGGGCGGAGGAGCGCGGAAAAGGGCGTGAGGGCAGGGCGGAGGCGTGGGGGCCGCTTCGGGGCCCGGGACCCTCGCCCCGCTTACCCGCCGTCCGGGCCACCAGGCGCCGCCATCTCCCGTTGCTAGGCGACGCCGTCAACACCCGGCGGGCGGGAACCTCGCGCGGGGCTGGAGCGGGCGGCGCGGCGGCGCGTCCTTTGTGCCACCGAGGTGCGCTGGAAACGCAGAGCACCTACGTATATAAATACATTAAAACATAAACTTAGTTTCTCCGTTTCTAAGTCCGACTTCTGTCCCGCCGGGCTCAGGTTCAGTAAAGCGACAACAGTGGCCACGAGCGTCCAGCCAGGCAACTCAGGTGGCCCAGGGACCGCGCCGGGCACCCGGGGACCCGAGACCGCTCAGTGCCCCGAAGGTGGCAGGTGGAGGTGGGGGCGCGAGGGGCTCCGGGGCACAGTGCACCTTGGGGGGGGCGGGGGCCCCAGCCTGGTGCCCTCCCATCCATCTCCAGACCTGGGGGCGGGGCGGGGGGCTCGGCGTCGCCTCCGCGGGGGTGCGGCGAAGAATCCTTGGCGGAGAAGGATGCTCAGTGGCTTTTGGGGGGTGATGATCACTTCTTACCCCCACATAGGAAAAATATAAATGGAGAGGGCAGAACAGAGAGGGCGAGCGCGCCCGTGGAGCGTCCCAGGGGTCCTGTCTTCACTGCCGGGGGACGCGGGGCTGCCATCAGGGCCAGAGTCCCGGGACCCGGAATTAGGACGGCCTGGGGCAGGGGACTTGGGTCCCGAGGGCGAAAGGTGACTGGGGCAGGGTCGGGGCGCACCAAGGGGTTGGGGGGAGAGGGTTCGGCGGGGAACCGGTCTGGGCCCGGGGCCGGGCTGGGGGCCGGGTTGGGTGGGGGGGGGGAGGCGGGGTCTGGGTTGGGGGCCGGGTTGCGCCGGTTGGGCAGGTTCCGGGTCCGGGTCCGGGTTGGGGTCCGGGTTGGACCAGGGGCGGGGCTAGGCCCGAGGCCGGGTTGGAGTCCGGGGCCGGGTTGGGGTCCCGGCTGGGCCAGGGGCCGGGTTAGGGGCCGGGTTAGGGGCCGGGGCGGGCCGGGTTGGGCCGGGGGCGGGCCGGGGGCCGGGCCTCGCCGCGCGTCCCCGCCCCGCTGCGCCTCACTGGCGGCGGCGGCGGCGGCGGCGGCGGCGGCGGCTCCGGGAGCCGGCGCGAATCGGGCCCCCGCTGCGGGACCCGGGTGGGTATCGGGGTCCGGGCGGGGGCCGCGGGGGCGGGGCCCGCGGGGGAGCGGGCGGCGCCCCCTCGGCGGGGACGGGGTGCGGGCGCGCACTGGGCGCTGGGCCTGCCGCGGCGGGGCCCGGGAGGGGCCGGGGTCCGGCCGCAGCCCCAGGAGGCGCGGGGCCGGGGCAGGAGCGGGGCGGCGTGGGAGCGCGCGGGATCACGCAGAAGCCCCCGGGACCCCCTCCGCGGCGGGTGCGGGCGCCCGGGCCGGGGGTGGCCCTAATTCGGGGAGACTCCCTCCCCGCGTGTGTGGAGCCGTGGACCGGAGAACTTGCGGTCTTTGTCTGGCTGGATCGTCAGAGCACGCGAAGGAGAACTTGCAGGGGGCCGCCGTTTGGAGACACAGCCCCCCGAAGTGTGCTTCCCGGCTCAGCAGCGCGCGCGCTCTCAGCATTGCTGGGCCTTAGGGTCGGTGGTCTGGCTGTAAAGAACCGCCTGTCAGGAAGCTCACTTCCTTTAGGCCGGGCTGTTCCCCCTTGTTCTTTACTTAAAAGAAGAAAGAAAGAAGGAAAGAGTAGAAAACAGGAGAAAGAAAAAAAATAGGCAATTCAAGATTGCTAAATATAACCTCAGGAACCTGGCCAGAAGCCGGTGAATCTTGAAATCCTGTTATTCCCACACTCGGAAGTTGGTGTCATATGTTGGCCACAGTCTAGTTCAGATTCTCTTCGGAGATGGAAAATAACATAGTATGTTCTCGCTCACCACTCCGAAGTTTGTTTTCCTGCCCACCAAGTTCCTAGGAGAAGCTGGGCTGGTCTCCCCCCACCTGCCCCTGGTTTTACCGATCTTTCTTTACCACGGGAAGGCCCCAGTCCTTGTATCTGGAAGGAAGCGAGACATGGTTCTCAAAGATGGCCATGTGGGGAAGCCTATTATCAAAGGGTGGCTGCAGAAGGCCAGATCCCAGAAATCTGTTCCCAATCTGCCATCGATTGATTAGAGAACTTTTAGAAATCTGTGTTGTTAGATTTAGAAATTCCTTGGTAGAAATATTAATGGATTAGTGACTGCTGAAGGCTTTGAAGAACCACGAAAACTTTTGCAAAGACAGGATTATTGAAGTAGGGGTTGCCTTGTAGTAGTAACTGGGGAATTCGTGTAAGTTGCCCATTGTTGGTACTGGGAGGCACGTGTGGTTGCTGACTGCGGTTATTATGTTTTCTGTGGCACTTGTTGGCTTGTGGAGTGTTGATGGTGAGCAGAATCTCAGAATATGGCTAAAGAAAGTTCTTATCAGTGGAATTTTAAAATTCTCCAGCGATGATGGTGGTTGTGTACATACTTTCTGATTATTGTGCATGAATTCACTTAACCCCAAAAACAAGCCCATAAAGTCAGGACTGAGGTTATCCCCATTTTACAGATGGGAACCCTGAGCCTTAGAGAAGTAAATTCCCCAAGCTCATGCACCTAGGACAGAACCAAGTTCACACGTCCTCGGGCCCAGGATGCTCCAGCCCCAGAAACGGCTGTGTGCACTGCCTCATTCCTGGTGAGGGGGGGCCTGCCATTCGCGTGCACACAGTCTTCCTGACCCTCTTTTTGCAGACCAGAGAACACGGTTCATTCCGGCTGATGATTCATAAAAAAGCAAGAGAGTGGGGACTAATCCCATGTCACTCACCAGCTGCTAATATCAGTTCTCTTTCGTCCAGAAGGAGCCTCTCGGGCCTCGTATAAAAGCGTTTGACAAGACGGCCATTGGGTTTCTGGAGCCTACCTGCTTGCCCCCGTCTCTCTGCCCTGGTTTGAGGTGGCTCTGTGCAGTGGTTAAAACGTGGCCCCCAGAGTAAACTGCCGGGTTCAAATACCAGCCCTGGCACACAGCACCGATTTCATTCCTGGGTGCCTTAGCTTCTCCGTCTGTATAGTGAGGATTGTTCTACCTACCTCAGAGGCAACGGTCGTCTGAAGCACCTAGTGCCTGGCACATACCAAGCGTTAAAATGAAAAAAAAAAAAATTTTATTAATGACCATCATTTGGATTGTTCACAGTTAGCAAATTGGTAAAAACATTTTGATTTTATTTCCTAATTCCTTGTATGTGTGGTCCGTCAGGCGGCAAGCTGCTCTGTGCAGAAGTGGAATTCACCGTTTAGGGATAGGGATGCTCTCTGCCTTGTAACTTTGCGGGGCGCTGGGTCCCTGCAGGCTGTTGCTGGGACCAGGGTGACCAGGTTGTCTGGAACACAGGTCTCAAGTAGAGATTTGGCCAATGCCCCCTCCTCCCCAGCCAAGGGACCCCAAATTTTTCACAGGCCTGAATCTTCTCTCATGTAAGATTAGCCAGGTCGTTTCATACCGTGGGGCAGCGTGAGGAGGGCAGCGTGGGGAGGACGGATGGACTTGCGGGGAGGACGGATGGACTTGCGGCTCCACAGCGAAACAACTGTAGCAGCTGCGGCCCAGTGGGTTTTACTGATGTACATTGTATTGCACCTCATTCTGTTATGTTTGTACAATACTGATGAACGTTGATGAGCCCCGTGCACAGAAAGGAAGTGCAAGTCTGCAGTCTCCCCACCCCCCGAATTCAGAGAAATAGTCTAGGAGATCTTTTTCCTTTCACTTCAGTGGTGTTTTGTGTTTTTTTTTTAAAGGTTTTTATTTATTTATTCATGAGAGACAGAGAGAGAGAGGCAGAGGGAGAAGCAGGCTCCCTGCTCAGTAGGGAGCCCGATGCGGGGCTCGATCCCAGGACTCTGGGATCATGACCTGAGCCGAAGGCAGACGCTTAACGACTGAGCCACCCAGGCGCCCAGTAGTGGTGTTTTTTGCTGTTGACCACCTGTGCGTCCTTCGGCACTGGGTCTTGCATCTCTAATAAATCTATTTTGATGATCTGTCTAGTGATATCCTATCTGAAGCATGTCTTTTACTGTGTCTTTGGAACTAATATAGCCATCCTCAGGGAGGAGCAAGATCTGGCCACTTGAAGACAAAGCGTGGTGCTCCCAAAGCCGTTATCCAGCCGGGATGGCACGCCCTTCTCTTGCTGAGCCTTGGGCGGCCAGTCTGTCCAGGTGTTTAAAGTTGATGTATGTGACAAGCCGGCCATAAGGACCCACCTGCCTGCAGGTACACAGGTGTGGCAGGGTCTTTTCCATGCTCTTTCTGGATTGGCCACTGTAGAAACCACCATAATAGGGGTGCAGCCCGAGCCCATGTCTGCACTAGCTTGTATACTTTGGTTTTTGTGCTGGTTTTCCGCGATGAGTGACCCTGAATTCAATAGTCTGACAAACTGGTCATTACACTCTTTGTCTTTCTGAAATTGGGGCAAAGGGCATTCTTACAGATATTTCACACTCTTTCACTTTTCAATTTCTGTAACTAAAAAGCTTTCCCCCGGAGCAAGATCAACTGTGTTGTTTTTCAGGGATATTGTCAATATATCCCCCACCCCCGACCCCCCATTGGCTTTTTGTTTTGTGGTGCCTTAGCCTCTCCTTTAGCACAGACAGAGAACCTCAGCTCTCTGTATTAGAGTTTACAGGAACAATATAGACATCAGGTGCACCTAACCCACTGTTGGGTCAGTTGGTGGCTTCCTGGCTGGATTTGTACCTTTCCTTGCTTTTTGGGTCCAGTCCTTCCTTGTTCCTCATTCCTAGCTCATCTCTAAGGTCATTTTCATCTCCCAGGCCCTACTTCCTCAGCTCTTTGGGGAGAAAATAGTGTTTTGGTATTTACTGTCAAGGGGGCACAAAGAGCAGATGGTCTCCTGCTTGAGAGGCAGAGGCCTTGGGGTTTTCCAGGGAGTAGGTGATAATCAAAGTGGCAGCTAGACAGCCGAAAGAGGGAAGTCACAGTGAAGCTGGCCACCAGCCCCCCCTCATGTTCCTGTGACTGTCCTGTCCTTATGGCCTCTCAAAGGTCCTTTCCTGGATGGCGATTGGTCCAAGCCTCTAGCACTGGGCTTCTGCCCTACATTTTGTTCCTTCATTTTAAATACAAGTTGATCGTCTTGTCCTCCCTTATATGCAGAGGCCCTGCCCACAGTGACCCTGTTTTGGGGTGACAGTCTTCTCCATGGGCATCCTGAATGTGATGTATATGCCAGGAAGACCTCTCTCTTCTACAGTGATCCCATAACGTGAAGGGAAGCAACGCAGAGAGGAGGGGTCGTGTCAGCCCACAGGTGTCTTGTCTGCATGATGAGACTTGGAAGACCCAACTTCCCCAAATCGTGTGCCTCAGGGATTGGGTTCCTGAACCAGTCTACCCGCAGGGTTTAGATCACCCTTTGAACAGCAAAGTAGGGGCTTCCCGGAAGGACCGTAGTGCACATGCTTGGTTCTGGGAAGGTAGAGAGAGCTGGGGTCTCCTCTGAGGGGTGTTAGCAGCAGATGTTGTGTGGGAGGAATGATCCTTGTTTTCATGTGGCTGGCTCCTGTTTAAATACCATCGCCTGTTCGCCGCTCTGTGTTGATCTGGCTTTGAGAGCAAAGCAGAGGAACCAGTTCCTGCCAGCCACATGGGGGGTGACCGGAGCCCAGGGCTTATTGCTCCTGAGCAGTCTGCCAGTGACGACGCCAGGGGGGTAATCACCTGTGGGCTTCGTCCCACCACACGTTCCCTAATGTGTCCAGTGGCCCTCTGCTCCCTACCTGCCTCTCCCCGCTGCAGTGAGCAGCCGTCAGGATGGGTGCGGGCTGGAGTCTCCTGTCCGCGGGCACTGGCAGCCCCGGGAGGCGCCAGGACTGCGTTTGCCCTGCTGACAGCTGCATCCCAGCACCTGAGCCAGGTGGGCCCAAGGCAGGTGCACAGCCCAGAGCATCCAATAGGAGAAGTCAAGCTCCTGCCTCTTAGAGTGGCTCCAGGCTGCCCGATTTCTTTGGTCTTCCTAGGAAGGTTCTGGAAGAGAACTTTGTACCTTTGCTCCTATTTTTCTGTTTGGCAATTCATGGGGCCCTTTATACCGGGACAGGAAACCAAGCCTGCGGGTGGAGGAAGCTGCCAAGGGCAGGCCCTGGTATGAGTGTGCACTTTCCCCTGACCCATCTTGCTGCTCCCAGGGGGCCACGGGGGTGCATGTTCTCCTCTCTCCTGGCTCTAGGCCTGGGTCCCCATCATATTGCCTAAAAGGTGGTCGCTCTGCATGGGAATTTGACAGTCAGTGGGTGAGTTAGAAATTCGTCCTTTCCGGTGTCTTTGCCATGGTGTGGTCAGCAGCAGAATGGTCCCCGAAGCTGTCCACGTCCGAATCCTGGGAACATGGGACTTGGTTAGGTTATGTGGCGTTAAGTTTGCTCATCAGCCGCCCTAGAGATAGAGATATTGTCCTGGATTATCCAGTGGAACCAGCATCATCCCAGGGTCCTTAAAAGCAGAAGAGGGGGGCAGAGAGTCAGTGACGGAGCCTTGTGATGGGGGGAGGACCTGGATGGCCACCGGCAGCTTTGAGGGTGGAGGAAGGGCCACGAGCCAAGGGCTGCGGGGGGATTCTAGAGGCTGGAAAAGGCAGGGAAACATTTTCTCCCCGGAGGTGGCAGAAGGAACGCAGCCCTGCCCACACCTTGGTTTGAGCCAGTTGAGCCCCGGGTCGGACTCCTGGCCTTCAGAACTGTGAGCTGATTTATTTGTGTTGTTTTCAGCTGTGAGATACATGGTGACTTGTTAAAACAGCCACGGGAAACCAACGTGTAGGGGACAGAGGTGCTTTCTGAAGGAAGCATGGGGGGCGACTTTTGTCTTTCCTAAAGGATGTCATTTCTTAATCCGTGTTATGCTCCTTTCTGGCTTTTCAGTGACTTAGGCTCTGTCTCTGCCCAGGACTTTTCCTCAGGTATAAATCACCAACTCCTGGGGAATGAATTTTGGGTAATGGGCGTCTCTGCTTTGCCCTGTAAATATTA